GCAGTTATGTGCAACATATGTGGTTAAATATTATTCTCTTGCAATCCAACTAATAATAACACTAAATTAGGCATTAGTGGCACAGAGTATTAAGTATTTGCGTGGAATATATTGTGTGTTTGACATCTCAAGTGTTTCACAGTGGAAAATGTAAAGCTAATGATATAGGTCAACTCATGGGTTAACTTACATTACTAGCAAGGTCGAGTTGGCCTATAGTGAGTTGCAAGCTTAGTTAAGTGAGTTGGCATAGCCCATATCTTGAGGGGTTACACGCCAACATGCTAGTAAAATATATTTTTATAATTTTAAAAATTATAAATTCACTTCTTTTTATTTTTTTAGGTAGAAAAATTATATTTTTTCCTAAAAAATAATCATCTAAATAATAATAAAGATCCTTCTAAATCATCAAAAAATACAATACAAATTGAAAATACATTAATACAGTCCAAAATAAATATATATTCCATCACAACACAAACAAACATAGTGAAAGGTTGAAATTACAACACAAAGCTTAAAGATAAATTTTGTAATGGAAAAATCAACAACGCAATATGCTACATAATACTCCATGATGAAATGTCCAGATTATCAAAAAAAGAAAAAAAATGGGGGAAAGAAAAAAAAAATTATAATGAATTATATGATCAGGAGGGGGAAAATAATGATGACCCAAGAAGATATTGGATTTGGAACATAAAACCAAAGATAGCATAGTAAGCTCTTTGTCAATATGTTTTCAAATATTTTACTACCATATATGTATATCCTTTTACGGAATAAGAATTCCTTCTCAAGCTCAAGACACACGAAAAAATAAATTGTTTTCAAGTAGGATTGAAACGTTAAAAAAAAAAAATGCAAGCTAACCTACAAGTTAACCCTTGTGGGTTAAAGTAATGTGATATGATCAAACATCTTACATCTAAATGAATCTTTTTTCTCCAACACAACCCAATCCATCACTTTTTTTTTTTGGCTTGGCGGGTTAAACTTGTAAGGTTAAACCATATTATCAGCTTTAGGAAAATTGAAGCTGTGCTTCTCCACTATCTAACAAGCTGTCGTTGAATGCTTTTGTTTTCTATTACCATGAATGTAACACACCAAAAACATTGATTGAGGCTTTTTAGAAATGAATTGGCCAGTTTTGATTTAATCTAGGTAATCTGAGGTTAATCTATGGCTTTTGGGCCTATCATACCCTAATTGAAGGCATTACACAAGTTATAGGAGTGTTTGGGCCACTTTTAGGCCTAAGTTGGATGGCTAAAAGTAGGCTTCACTCACTATACCATCCGTTGTGGTGTAATGTGTCATGCATTGCGACAGATTAAGGCAAAGTTTGTTCTTTAAAATCTTTAATGTAACAGTGTTTAGGTGAAGAGGGAATGAGACAGCTTGAAGGTGAGAGTTTTTCTCTAATATGATTTGTGATTTTCAACCCTTTTGATTCCTTGGGAGATGTATAACTGTTAGGTAAGCTTCTATACTCTACCTTATATTCTTTTAGTGTTATTCTTCTTGTTTCATTAGGTGTTAGTGGCTAAGGTCTAAAAATAGTAGGACGCGTACTAAGTTTCTGACATGATTTAGACTAATAGAAGTTTAGTTGAGTATTTTAAGCTTCGAGTAAGCCACTAACAAAGGTCTTAAGTCATGAAGTGAGATTTATGGTAAATCCTGATATGGATTAGCTAATACATAATGATTAGCAAATTTAATGCTTGTTGTTGGTTATGGGGAGTTTAAATGAGTTAGTAGGGCTTAGGCAAAGGAGCACATACTGTATATAATATTGATAGAGGTTTTAAGTTTTAAACCTTGATTAAGGAAATTAATTGTGATTAGTCATAATTAGTCCCCAATGGCTGTTAATGCACTTGATTGTACATTTTGGCTACTTTGGAATACTTAAGCTTGTCAGAGGCTCCTTGAGTTGTCAAAAAATATTCTTGGTTGGTAAATTAAAGGTTGAGATAATCGAGAGTTAATTTTTGTATATTAAGTTTGGCATGCTAATGATTAAATCAATGGATGACTGTGTGGAAAGTTTAAGGTTTGAGTTGTGGATCTTTATGGTGAGTTTAAGGACTACATGGACTACTTATTGATAATGTGGCATGAAGAACTAGAAAGGTATGTTTATGTATAATTGTATATGCATGTTTGGAAATAATAGGCTAAAAAGATAATGGAGTTGTTACACACATTATAAGTTTAATGCCTTCTTTTTCATAGGGCTTGATGCGATTGATTTTTTTTGTATTGAATATGGTTATGTATATGGGCATGTCATGAATGGATAAATTGAATTTTATCAAGCATAATAAGGCGAATTCTACCATGTTAAGCATGAACAATAATATATATAGATGAAAAGGTAATAAGGGCATAACTTGTTTCACATGATCATGGATGGGTGAGAGTTCACCTAAGAGAGGGTATAGGGCAATATGATAAAATTCCACATGGTGTGACTCCATTGAGAATTGCTTGCAATGGTTGGCTTGTAATTTATAAAAAAGGCTTAGTATTGACAATTTCCTTTAGGAATTGGTATGAGTCAAGTATAATGCTTAGTTTCATCAGGTCCCATGAGAACAATGTGGGTTAAACAATTATTGATAGCCTTGAGATTCAGAGAAGGGGGAATCTATTATTCAAAAGTGAATACGGGCACCTTAGTTGGCTAACTTCTCATAACTAGAGAGTAGGGCTAACTTGGTCGCACTAGTTAGCCCTATATTTATAATTACTTATGGATTCGATTAAAAGATATAAGAAGAACAATAAGGTAAGATGCATGATCATGTACGTTGCATAGTGTTCACATAGTCATTAGTTAAACTTTAGTTTGTGTCATTTAATTGTTTGGAACTTGGCAAGGGGCCTATTAATCATCTTATATGTCCAAATTTCGCATATGATGATGGATGGTGGTGAATCTAAAGTCATTAACTAATTTATTTAATTATGTTTGAGTGGGTACTTAGATTACATTAATTAGAGATCAAGGTAGGAAATTAAGAGCTTCAAAAGTTGGGTTTAAGAGCTGATTCATCAATTGTGTTGATATGGCCGATAAGCCAAGGCGAATGGTGTCAAGTACAAGGCAATATTTCCTTGAATAATTTTTTTTAAAAGCAAAATACTCTTTTGTTGGAAACTCATCATCTTTTCCGTTATCTACTGACATGAAATAATTATGAGGCTCATGCATAGTGACAGTAAGTCATTCTAATATATTTTGACCATCATATGTGGGCAAAAAAGGTTGGAAGTGGTGGTGGTAGGAATCATACCTATTTTAGCGACAAAACAATGACAAAATGATTTAGAATACATTACTATCACTGAACATAGGCCCCACAACTATTTTGCATTAGTATATAATAAAGAAGATGACAGGCTCTAATGGAAGGAAAATTTTGCTTATAAAAAAAATTATTTAAGGAAGTATGCCTCACTCTTCAATATAAAATGCCCAATATTTTAAAAAAAAATTCAGTAAAAAAATAATATTTAACCCTTTAAGAAATTCTCATATTAACTTGGAATTAATTTGTTAGCGTCATGGTGGGAATAACTTGACCAATAGAACTCAAATTAGAGTCAATAAGTCTGAGTTTGAAATTATATCAATTAATTATTATTTTTAACCAATGCACTTCTTTTATTTTTTTCTAGGTGCATTTAATTTTTTAAAAATACTTTTCCATATATTAAATATGTAGTAAACGTTTGGTTGAGTATTACAAAATATCAATCAATGAAATTAATTTTCCAAAACGAATAATAATGTCAATAGCACATTAGTGCATGTTTGGATAGATGATATGATTAATTTTAAAATTCAGAAACATAATTTTGTAAAAATATATCCAAATGATATAATCAAATTTAGAAGTCAAAACAAACACCCATATTAAATATCAAAATCAATTATAAATTTAAAATCATAATTTTTTTAAGAAAAATTAATTTTTTAGCCCTTCAACTTTTAACTCACTTGTAATTCAGTCCCTCAATTATGACTCACTACGACTCAGTCTCTCAACTTTTAATTCACCCATAACTCTGTCCTTATTTTTTATTTTTTTAAATTTTTTTATCAAATAAGAGGGATAAAAAAATTCTCATATATTATTTTAAAATACCCTCCTCTTACTCAATGATGTGAGATATAAGCTAAAATGAAAAAAAAATTAACAAAAGTTAAAGGATTAATTTGCAAATGATTTAAAAGTTGAGGGATTGAGTCATAGGTGAATCATAGTTGAAGGATTGAGTCACAGCGAGTCATAATTGAGGGACTGAATTACAAGTGAACTAAAAATTAAAAGATTAATTTTCTTTTCTTTTTTTAATATACAATAAACGAAACTGCTGAGCTTTCATACTTGGACTGATATTTGATGGCCAGAGGCAAGGCCTTGACTGATTCGGATCACATGCAGTAGCTGATGTACAATGTCTAGCAAGTTACTTCACAATAGCCATTAAATTGATCTCAGTGGCTGAGGGGAGCACTAGTATAAAATTAATTTACTAGCTATCAACACACAAACAAAATACAGGGATTTCAAAACTTTCCCTTCCATATTCAGGGTCGATTTATATAATTCCAGTCCTTCTTATCTACTAACAAGAATGATCCTGATCTAAATCCCCACCATCCATGATCGACAAAATCAACTGAAGCATGAATAAAGTATGTTCAATTTTTATGATTTCAAAAAATTGTGACATTTCTTTCTCAAACATTGTTTCAGTTTTTTTATGAATAAAAACAAAATTGGATGAAATCATATGACTATGATTATATTGTCCTAAAATCATCTTTGAACATAAAATCAACCAGAATTCAAAATCCATATCAAAAAGATGAAAATCAACCAGCTTTGTGGGCCAAAAAAAAAAAAATCTATTGAGGACTATAACCACCATAATCGAACATTGCAAACCAATATCACCACCGCAAAGCAAGGCGGCTAAGGACCAGAACCATTTTCACTGCCCATTGTTGCCCTTCAAATACGATGTAGAACCTTCAAAACTAAAACATGCGAGATCTAGTTTCGAACCTAGAACCTTCGTCCTCTTATGTCATCGTCGCTGCTAGAGTCTACCTAAGCCATGCTGAAACCGTTGCTGCAACCTATTCAGGTCCTCCGTCAAAGAAGATGCAAGAGAAAGCTCGACATCCTCTTCTTCTAGTCTTCCATCTAAAAAAAAAACATGAAGCTGGTTGGTTCTTGTCTATGCTGCCGAAAGCTTTTGAAATCCTAGATTTTGTTTCTGTACTTTTACGGTAGTAAATTAATTTTACTCCGATACCCCTCTCAACCACACGATCAATCTAATGGATACTGTGGAGTCATTTCCTAGACACCGTACGTAAGCTGCTGCATATGATCCGAATCCGAGCTAGACAACCCATTGCTTAACTGTGTTGACTGTTGACTGCCCTTTATGTATGCACGCACTGGTTAACTGAGTACGAGAGTTGAGAGGGAAAGCCGTTGGCTTGCTGCGCACTACGTCGAAGCTTCACTGATCGATTAAAGTGTATAAAACCCTAACTCAGACGCACGCCAAGGAACAAATGTATCTCTGTAGTTCTTGCCCAGCTTTCCTTCACACAACTCCAAAGCCAAAGGTGTGTTCCTACTTCACACTATCTTAATTTCTGACTTAATTGTCTTGTTGCCGTGGATCGATACGAAATCACTTTAAGTCTTCAGACTTAACTTTTGGATAGCTCCTGGCGTAATTATTTTGTTCCGTTTCACGCGGTTTGATTCTAACTTGCATTCTCTCCAAAGATATTTAGCTCGTCCGGTTCTTGTCCAAGACATTTGAGCATCTGCGCTGAGTCTACGGCGGGGAATCTGCCCACCACTTACGTGCCAGCTGCTCCCATTTTTCTTCCTGAAGGACCTTGGAAGCAGGTCAGTCGCTAGGTGATTGTCCTTTAGTTGCTTAATTGATAAAGTGATACTATATCGACTTAAGTCCTCAAAAATCCTCTGGCAGAAAATCCCTGATATGGTATAAATTTTGCCCCATATGAATTTGTATATTGAGAAATGGTATTTTATATCGATAAATACAACAGTATTCTTAACGTACAATAAGTCTTCTGAAATGTTTATGAACTTAATCTGGTATATTTCTTTTAAAAACTGAATGGTCGGGAGTCGTGGGCGACATATGATTCGTACAATTTCTGTTTAATGCTAAAATATTCAGATATCATCTCTCCTATTATTGAATTAGTGATACGGAGGGAAAGAGATAGGTGTGCAATATATGCTTACGCATGGAACAGCTCACTGCAGTCCGGGACTGTTGTTTTTTTCCCCTGCCTGAGTACTATTGGTTTCATCTGCCAGAAAAATATGCCGACAAATCTTAAAACAGGATCTGAAAATTATATCGACTTGTCAGCTAGAATCTGGTTTCGGTTTTCAGATCCCAGGAGGAGTTACTGCTGCAGAGGGATTTAAAGCAGCAGGCCTTTATGGAGGGTTGCGTGCCAAAGGAGAAAAACCTGATCTTGCACTTGTAACATGTGATGTTGATGCCATATCTGCAGGTTAGCTTTCATAAAATTGATCCATACTGTGATTGACTTTTGGGTTTTGGCATGCACTTTATGTGATCATATTTTGGAGTATCGGACCCAAGTCTTTGAGATTTTTTTGCTTGGGACAAAGTAAGAGCAATCAGTCAAAAATCTACTCTTTTGAGTTAATTTCGTTTTTGCCCCTTCAGGCTCATTTACAACAAATGTGGTCGCTGCTGCACCAGTGTTATACTGTAAAAAGACACTAGACATTTCCAAAACAGTAAGTGTTCAGTTATTTGCTTGCCAGTTGAGATAAAACTGCACCCAAACAGAATGCAATACAAAAGATTTGCCACATTTAACTTTGCGTTGATCTCTCAGAGCAGCTATGTTTAATATTGATGCAGCAAAGCATTTCATTGTATGTGATAGTTTTTCTTTTACTTGGTTACCTGCTAATATCTTAATTTTCTTGTCAGGCACGTGCTGTGCTAATTAACGCAGGTCAAGCGAATGCAGCAACAGTAAGCCATATAATCTGGTTTTATTTAATATATTTGTCTAATATTATTTTGCCATGTGGAATTTATGGTAGCTTCATTCCAATTACTTGAGAGCATATTCATTTGATTTACTCTTGCCCTTGGCCTTTGCTGTGAGATCTAATTTTAGTGGTTATGGCCTCTTAAATCTTTAGGGAGATGCAGGTTACCAGGATGTGATAGAATGTGTAAAAAACCTTGCAGAGGTATGCATGCTTTCAGCGATTATTCTCCTTGAAATGCTCCTTTAGAAGGGTTTGTGCTTGGTGGTTACTGTCAGCGTTCACAATTACAGCTACTGAAAATGAAGCCTGAAGATGTGCTTGTTGAATCAACCGGGGTCATCGGTCACAGAATAAAGAAGGTATGACTTACATGCATAGACTCTGCTCATTTGGTTTTATGTTTCATTGGCCTGCTTCTATGTGATGTTTGTCTCTGTAATATGGATTACACGTTAACAAATTTTGGAGAAGTAATTTTACAAGTAGTCAAACAGGCTTGCTTTACTATCTATTTGATAAATGTTGTTGCTTTGGCGTTATATGCTTCTCATTTCATTTGCAGGGCGCACTTTTAAATTCACTTCCCAAACTCGTAAATTCACTCTCACCTTCAGTTGAGGGGTAACTCCTTCACACTTATGAGTTGCTATTAACATATTCATGCTGCACTTGCTTCAATGTGAAGCAACATTGCATGTCTATAGTTTCACTCTCTTTTTTTCCCGACCCTATTTTTTATATTGTGGTTTCTCTTATTCATTAGAAACTACCTAAATCTGATCCAAATTTGAAATGTATGCTTTTCTATCCTTCCTTCTTTTCTTCCTCCACCCCCCTAAATCTTATTAGCTTTCATTCAGGGCAGACTCTGCAGCAGTGGCAATCACCACAACCGATCTTGTTAGCAAGAGTGTGGCAATTGACTGTCTGGTATCACGTTCTCCCATCTTTCTCAGTTTCAATTTATGCAACCTTCACATTGTGTAACTTGTCGATAAACATATGTGATTTGGTCCTGGCTATTGCAATGACAGTGGTTTGCATGGATGAGCTGTTGATCTGAAAACATTAGTCAGCTACTGTGAAGAGGGCATTTTCTTGCCAAATCACCCACAAAAAAAAAAAAATGATAGTGTCGGCAAACTCTTAAGTAATTAAGAATGCACAATATTTGAAGCCATCAAAGGATAATTTAAGATTGACATGATCTGTACAACTTGATATATGTTCCTGAATTCTTGATATACATGATAGACTGGTAGTGTTGGTTCAATGTGAAGTAATATTTCTAAAAAGGGAAGCTTATAACTCTGAAATCTTTTTGAATTTACCAAATATGTAAGGTTCATTTTCCACAAGCCTGCACCTCTATGTTACTATTATGAGGAGGAAATTAATTTGTGCTTGTATGTATTGGCTATTGGTCAGGTTGGAGGGATCAAGGTTAAAGTAGGGGGGATGGCAAAAGGTTCTGGAATGATCCATCCAAATATGGCTACTATGCTTGGGGTACGTCTTTCTTACTAACTGCTCTTTTGTTATTTAGACATATGATTTTCTTACCTCAGGTAAACCCTCTGCATTTAGGTAATCACAACTGATGCCAACGTTGCCAGTGATGTTTGGAGAAAAATGGTGCAGGTGGCTGTGAACCGAAGTTTCAACCAGATTACTGTATGTGATTTATCTTTATACTAAATTTCTTGCAGACTTGTTAGAGTACTCAACTTGAGCAAGATCCTTATTCTTAATTATTATTTTTGAAATAATAAAATGCAATTTTTTAAAATTGGTCTGAATTTAAAAAAAAAAAAAGGGTCGGATCATCGGCTAATGGAGGTACTTATTCATGGTTCAATAATATGAACAGTAGCAGTAGAGATCTTTTAGTATACTGTGGAGAGAGGGGATGCTCTCTGCCTTTTCTTGCTCAAATTGCGGTCAAACCAGTAATAATTGAATACATATATCATTTTTTTTTTAATCTTACATATTAAAATTATATAATAGATAATAAAAAGGTCTTTTATCTGTCCTTTTCTTATTTTATAATAACAAGATATGATATACATAACACTCACATTTTTATAAGCAAAGATGCATCACCCCACCCCCAAAAAAAAAAAAAGCTGGTCTAATGCCTTATTATTGAGTTGATTTAAATAAATCTGCAATGGACCTGTAGTAAGGCTTCATACATGGGTAACTAAAGTATTTCTGTTTTTCTGAAAGAAGATCAAATAGATACAATTCTATTTGGCTATTTGTTGGTGGAACGTTTGTCTAGAATTTGATTTACAAGAGTGCAATGCCCTCTTCGTCTACAATGCTATTTGGGAAGATCTTCCCAATCAAACAGTAGTTCTTATAGATACAGTTCTGTTTGGCAATTTGCTGCTGGAAAGCTTGTCTACAATTTAAATTAGATGGGTGCACGATGTGAAATTTGGGAAAACCTATTCTAGGTGTAGGAAGTGTTAATTTAGTGACATTGTAGTTTTACGCGTTTTCATATTTTCTGACCCTGTTCATTTTCTTCTGTTATATTTTGGACGTACTATAAATAGCTCCCCTGCCCCAGGGACCAGGGTAGTGTAAATTTGTTAGACAAGCTTGACATTTTGAAATTGCACACCAGTTATCATCATTTGCTTCTCTCCCAAGCCCCCTTTTCCAACTTTTTCTCTGCTTATTCCATTTTCTCTCTTTTTGCGGCCTTCATTGCTGTTTTACATCAGCAGAGCATTGTCTCAATCCAATTCTCTGACATTAAAACCCCTTGAGATTCATCATAACCATCTTGATTTCTACCCATCTTGGGGTGTTAAGCTCATGAGAGATTATACTGCTTGGGAAGAACGTAGATTGATGCACGGCCATTCATATGATGCATCTGTCCTGGCCCATGAACACCATGATGGCCTTGACATCATGCCAAAGGAAGGAATGCAATGGGAGTCTGCTGCAGTTCAAACTAGTGTGGAGGTGCCCCTGTGAATAATTACTGGAAGAAACAGTGCCTGACTTCGGAAAAGTCCAATGGAATAACAATATAAATTCTGTGAATAGGAAACCAAATTACTATTTTAATGCACCGTTGCTGGACTGGGTTTAGACTCAAGAAGGTCCATGATCTAAGTTTCTTTAATTTTTTCCCCTTGAAAAATGGTACCCCATTGGCTTATCTGGTTGTGGCCTGATGGGTATCTAAGTGAGATGGGAAATCCTACTCCAAAAGCTAGCTGTTGAAGTAGAAAAACCAACCCACTTAGATAACCCATTGAGCATCCCATACTACTCAATGTGGGACTTGGTATCCCATACTACCAAGTCTCCATTAGGATCATTCTTATTAATTAAAAGTCGGGGTCTTGGAAGGCTAGTTTTGTCTTTTGAGGGTCAATTGGACTGGGCTTATAATCAGTTTTTCAGTCTGATTGGCTCATCCAGCTTGATTTTTGAAACATTGAAAAAAAGCTTAAAATCATTCTTACAATTAATATCAGGCGGCTCACATGCATTCAAGTTCATCTACTTGAATTGCTAGTTTAACAATCACATGCTTTTGCTTGTATGATCAGTCCAGTTCTGGGACTTTCATCGGTTTCTGACTTTCTTGATCTTTTTGCTGCAGGTAGATGGAGATACTAGCACAAATGATACTGTCATTGCCCTCGCTAGTGGATCGTCTGGGTTAAGCTGCATATCTTCTTTATATAGTGATGAAGCTTCTCAACTTCAGGCATGCCTTGATGCTGTAAGTTTGACCACTGAACACTTCTTACCGATATGTTATCATATATTTTTAACTTTCATGATAAACAAAATGATATGATGGTTATCTTAGTCTTAGACTCTTCACTGGAAGCTTGACTGCTCTAGTAAAATTGGACCATGCCGTTTTTGGAGGGTATTGCAATAATGCATTTTGATTTATCTTATGTATTGTGCAATCTTGTAGAAATTAGTTTTTTGTGTATGCGTTATCTCAATTCCTCTTTCTTTGGGATCTTTAAAATACCTTTCTGTGTGTGGACATATTCACAATTTTCATATTGATGTAATTAGAACTCAGCTAATTTGTATTTTAGGTGCTTAGGACCTCCCGCCCAAAAAAATGTTAACATTATAATATACATGAGTTCCTATTCCTGCCACTTTGACACGTTGCTGTGGCCAGAGATTTATGGTTCAAAATGCACAAAGCGGTTAAATCTTTTTTCTTTCCAGGTAATGCAAGGTCTTGCCAAATCAATTGCTTGGGATGGAGAGGGAGCAACATGTCTCATTGAGGTCTACTTCTCATTTCAAGGATCTGCATGCTTGATTAGCCATACTTATTCCCCTCTTTTCTACAGCATCAAGTGTTAACCCTCCAAGTTCATTTTCACCGGGTTATGATTAGAAATATGATTTTAGTCAGCAATCGGTGATAGCATTTCATTGACAAACAATTTACTCTGGTGCATTTCTCTGTGATTTAATGAATGTGTAATTGGACTTCGAAGTATTTTTGGTTGATTGTCATAAAATTTTGATTCAATCCTACTCATTATTGATATTTATTATCAAATTTCATTTTTGGTTTTGTAGGTCCATGTAACTGGTGCAAACAGTGAGGCTGAGGCTGCAAAAATTGCACGTTCAGTGGCCTCTTCTTCACTCGTGAAGGCATGAGAATTGAGATTAAGCATTCTTTAAATATTTCAATTCAGCTAATGTTGACACACAAATAATGTTATGCAGGCTGCTGTATACGGCAGAGATCCCAATTGGGGACGCATTGCTGCTGCAGCTGGCTACTCAGGAGTTTATTTCCACCAAAACTCACTTAGGGTACAGCTGGGCGATATTTTACTGATGGATGCTGGCGAACCTCAATTATTTGATCAGTAAAAGCTACTTTCCTTATTTAGTTTTTTGAGGTTTCATCTTCGGCGTGTGTTTCTCATAAATTCCTCTAAAATGACTCAAACTTATTAATAACTTTTGTCTTACCTCTCCTTGGACATACATAGTACTCACCTCTCCTTGGACATACATAGCTTCTTCTGGCCAAAAACATGCTTCTTCAGATGCTAGGGAAGCGTATAGTTCTAGCATTTCTGTATCATGAATGGAACAGTTTACTTACTGAACAATCAACCATGAATAGTTCCAAGAAAATGACCAAAAGTGAAAAGAAAGTAAAATTACTTTTCTCCTCGGACAATGTGTTCATGTTTCTTCTAGCATTTCTTGCATGCATCATGATCGTCAGGAATCTGAGTTCCAGTCATGAGTGCGTGTTTGCTATTCTACTAAAATTTTGGCTGTTGCGTTCCATTAATTTAAACATGTTCTCCATTTCGGCCTAAACAACACCTTCCTCCCTACACACACACAGAGAGGCACACAGTTAAAATTAAATTAAATCTGCATATAATATAGATGTACCAAGGGGTGGGGATAAGTATGGTGTTGATAAAGACACTTCGTCTGAATCTCTATCTTTCTCTTTTCTCTATTATCTCTTTCTTTTTTATCTCCGGATCTTTTTTTTCCAATTATGAGATATGCTGGTGTCTTTAATTATCTTGTACATTATTTCCAGAAATTATATGTAACATGTAATGCAGTTCAGGGGAAAATAACATTTATTTTATTTTATCAATTTATGTAGTGTTTATATATTGGAATTGGTTGTAATTTAGGATTGATTTATCATTAATTAGATATTATTATATGAAACAAGTGATAGGCCATAGCATTCTCATTAGTGTCTTAATGGTATCAGAATTCTATTGGAAATTTTATAGCTAGTGGAAAATTATCCTTTTCTTGTAATGCAGTGATATTGAATTAAATTATAATCTATGAAGCATGGACTCCCAAAAAAAAAAAAAAGGATTGCCTTCTAAGATACATGTATTAGACACTATATGATATGCACCTTAAATTACATGCAAAATAATGTCACCATTATCTATGTTGGTAGGTATGTGTCTTGTGTCCGTGCTTCTTAGGTTACAGTGGATCCAATTGTATCAGTTTCTTTTCTGATTCTTTTTCTCTTTCCGCCTGGAAATTTTTTTCCGGTTCTGATTCTTTGGTTCCTATCCTACATCAACACAACTTTATGTGGATAAAATTAGATTCTACATGCGTACGGTTTTTTCTTGCAGTTTGCACGTGTCTTTTTAAAGCTTGTTATTTAGCGGTTTGTCTATCATCGTTTAAGATCAGTCTATCTACATTTTGCAAACTCATGAAGCTACTTTCCCAGGGTTGCTGCTTGTAATTATCTGAGAAAGGCTGGAGATACGCATGGTACGGTTGAAATTCAGATATCAGTTGGTAAGTGCGTATCCTGACAATGAAACCCACCAAACTTAAGACATCTTTCGCGCTTATGCGATTTAAAATTATGGGCTAGCTACTCACTTGTGTTTCTATATAATGATTTGAAGCCAATGTAATGCCACCCAGATTTAACTGGGATTAGAATTCAGTAATCAACAAGAGTATAATAACAATAAGAGAGAATAGTAGCAGAGAAGTAGCAAAATCATATATTATCCAAGTCACTGCACAAAACAATCAAAATGTTTGATGTTTAGCTTTGTAGTCGGATTTTTTTAATTTTAAAAGAAACTTCATGGTTAGATTTTCCCCCCGCATGAAAGTATGTCTTGAACAAGTTTGTTTGTAATTTCGAAAGTTCAGTTTTGCATAACTTTGTCTCAATATTTTTTTTTATTTTTATGTTATTTAGATTACTACTTATGACTAGCTAATCAAGGATCATTCACATGCTGTGAAGTTACAAAATGAAATTATTTTCTAGTGGCCAGAAGTTATGAGCAAGGGAAGTGTCTATTTAGATACAATGCTAACGTGCTTAGTAATTGGCCTTCATTTCCTACCAGGTAATGGCCCTGGTCGTGGACAAGCATGGGGCTGCGATTTAAGCTACGATTATATTAAAATCAATGCTGAGTACACAACATAGTCCAATGTGAAGGTCTTCGTAACGAGGTCTTTGGCACAGTTTTTGATTCATGAATCATTACTGAGTTGTTTTCACTCCTTTTTCTTCTGTATTTTTATCCTTTTTTTCCCCTTTCCGTTTTGGCGACTTGACTAGTAGCTAAGCAAAGCATCAATGCCTCTGGATTATAGGACATGCTCCCTGCCACTTCGAGGACCCTAGCGCTGAAAGATCCAATCCTGCACTGTTTAAGGTTTTCCTTTTAATGCAGGGCTATGGCCTTTGTTTGCCAAAAAAAATAAAGACTAGCAGCTAATGGTCACCAATGCAACCGCATTATTTAACGGGGCATGAACGTGTCAGACCTTGAGATGTTCAATTAGTGGAAATTGATTAGTGTCAGAAACATACATTGGAAATCTGCTGGCCCTGGCTGCGCTGCTTATTGGATTATATTTCTGTGATAATATTTATAAGCTATTTTCAATATATTTTGCATAAATTAAAGAAAATTTTAAAATTTGTTAACTTTATTTAAAAATTTAATAAGTTTTTAATTTTATTTCTATTAAATATACAATTTTTCAGGTAAAATATAAAATTTATAATAAAAAATTAATAGTATGACTCATAAATAGGATAAACAATTCCTTCTCTCTAGATGGGGGTTTTTTTTCTATTATCTCTTCATTGTAAATTTAAACCGATTAAATTAAATTTATATTTTTTAAAAATTAGTAAATTTAATTTTTTAAATTTAATTTAACATTTCAGATTTGAATTGGTCTCTCCTTTACTCTTCTTTGTTGAGAAGAAAATCTAACTTCCTCTATATCCTGTAAATAAGAGTATTCTCTTATTTTCACACAAGCCATCAAAATATAGACCAGTCGCTACTTGACGAAAATTTTGGGGAGGAGCAAATGCTCACAAGTTCTAAACCTTCGCGGAAACTCACTTCGAAAACTAGCGTCACACACTCACACCTTTGCCGCTAGACGGTATCGACTATAATCATGCCTTTGTACTATGGCGACTCGTTCTTCCCCAGATCAGCATTCTAGAATGTAACCAAGCCATGCAGAAGTTCATGGACTAGAACGCCCATTAACGCGAGACACTTGATTCCTATCATGATGCCGTGATCAACAAAGCTCGTCATCCAAACGCATATAACCATGCTGCGCTTTACACAGCATAATATGTTTTGGGAGCTCGAGCCTTAAGAAAACAGTCATGTTCTGCGTTCAGTGGCCAGAGCCACATTATGTCGTGCAATCCAGAAGTTTTATAAAGTGCCAGATGAAAGGAGCAAAAAGTATTAAGAACACCCTCATTAGGCTTCTGCAAATGAGTAATGCGCTAGCGTAACTGATTGTTTGATGAAGCTAGTTCCACAGAAAGAATCTTCGTGGGAATCTAAAGCATCTAATTCGGTAGACGATTCAAGCAATCCATTACGAGAATCCAGCAGCTTACAACACTTATCAGACGTCCCAATTGACTCGCAATACTGCTTCTTACCTTTGCCACTAACTCTCCGATTGTAAGTGTTCTTCTGAACCATTCCATTCTTCTTCTCACTCTTCTTGCCCTTGGATTTATATTGTCGCTTGCTTTTGTAAGAGTGCGATAATGATCTTGTTAGTGGATCATACACATCAGGGGCCCATTTCACGGTCAATTTCGTTCTGCATCCTCCTTGTTTCCCACGGCTACCTTTCATTGCAGAAACAGGCTTCAAATGGGTCTGTGACGTCAGACGTCAAGAAAAAATAAGTCAGTACGCAGTAAGCAACAAATAGCAAAGGCAAGAGCAATAATAATCATAATAACTACATTTTATTGCAGGAGATTCTTTCAACCTTTGCTATATTGGCTTGAATCACATGATTCATGACCAAGTCATCATCTGAAGAGCAAAGTGGTAGCAACGGATTAAAATAGCTCGTGTCTGCAGACCCTCTCAGGCACATATCATCTGTTGTCGTTTCTTGCTGTATAAGACTTCCCTGCCCCGTATCACAATAGTCATCTCCCACAGATGAATTTTCTGATCTCTCAGCATCTTCAATATGAAATGATTTGCTAAAAGTACTTTCTAGATTACTTATTAAATTGTCATGGCGGGTATTAGCGAGAGAGTACATCTCCACCGATTGGATCAGGTACTAAAAGACAAGAGTAGACAAATATTATCAAGATAGATAAATAAATCAAACTTCTATAAACGTACGTTAAGAAAAATGAACAAGACAGGAGGCATAACATAAATAATATATTCAGCATTAAGCAAATTATATCTTGCTTTGTGATGAGGAAATGATTAAAGAGCTTAAGGGGAGGAAAGTAAATAAAATGTTATTTGACATATGGTGACATAGAAAAGACGCCTACCAGCATCATGGCAGTTGAATATGAACAACATAACAGTTATAGGCTACGCACTTCAAATATCAATTTCTCCATGACTAATGAAAGTAACAGCAGAACCGACACTACCACCAACCAGCATGTCGGTGGTAATTTGAGTTGGAACGAATAACTTAAAGCGTAAAAATGAGGAAAGCGATATCCATTTTTTTAAAATTATAGGCTGAGTTTGGTAAGGGAATCTTGTACTCGTTTTATTATATGGAGAACGGAGCATACAAAAGTGTTACGTATATGACAAATCATACAGCCCTATGCACGAAAATTTTTTGAAATAGGATAGACAAAAAGGTCTCAGCTGTTAGACTAAGGGTGTAGGCGTCTAGGCGATATGCGGTTGTGTTCTGGTTGTCTTCCCTGTATAGTTTGAACCGATCGAGGCTCAGGTTCAATGTGATAGCATAGATTTATTGTTTTAAAGAGGAGTGTCATGAATTAGAATGACACATAAATTTTGGAAGATTACTTACTGCGTAATCCAAAATACGTTCAGCGACGACTTTCGGTGCAACAACGCTCTTAGAACATTAATTAACAGAGGCAAATTTCCACAGCTTTTGAAGCTAGCAGCCTAACACGGTTCCAGGGTGATCACCAAGTCTTTCTTATACTAGCAAGCGTTGAGACGAGATAAGACCGAAACAGATATCTCTTAAAGAGAACCTTGAAAGAAATTAAAAGGAATGACAAGAGCTTCCTACTGATAACCAAGATTAGCACGCTGGTCAACTTTTTCGAGATGTTTCAGACGGTGAGAGGAGGATCCACCATGGAAAATGGTCAAACAAAGCATCCACGGGCGTATCAAGAAATCAATGGGCACCGAAGGCATTATTCTATGCTCTTCACAACCCTAACTCGTTTATCAACGAAACTCCAACCTCGGGACGCCGGCAGCGAGCAAACCAACAGTCTATTTAAAATCGCTGAATGAGAATAAACAATCAGTCAGTTCGAAGGAAAAATCGAAATCAAGAGCCTCTGAAGAAGCGAAATCTAGAAATGTCATGTTGGGATTATGATGACGATGGGATAAGGAAGAAAACGCGTTGCAGAAGAAGGTGATCAAGGACGCACGAGCCTAGAGGTAAAGGGCGGTCAACGGTCCAATTTTATACGTTTCATTTTTTAAAATTAGGCGGTGTGTGGTCTTTCTGAAGGCCGATTCTCGGCCCATTTTCTTCTGGTTGAGCCCAATCGGATTCGCCTGGAGTTGGATGTGTTGTCAGACTCAAAACACAATTTTATTTTTATAAAAAAAGATTTAAATCCGCTGAGGTCTGTTAAAAAAAATTGTGAATTTTATCTTTTTTAAAAAATAGAAAAAACTTAATATTTTATAAAAATAATAAAATGAAAAAAAATACTTAAAAATATTTACAAAAATTCATGAATATTAACTTTAGAATATTTAAATCCTATAAATAACATGACAATTATAGCCACAAAATTGCCCCTTTGTTAGTGGCCAATTCATTCACAACACTTCCACAGTTTCACTTGCCCCCTTACATTAGAAGACTCATTTGAGTACTTCCCAATTTTTTTTTTTACTAAAGCCTATTTTGTATTACAGAATTTTGTTTTTATGAAAGTGAAATTAGATATGAATATGGATATGGAATTTAAAAAATATTTGGTATAACTGTGGAAATCATATGTAGTTTTTAATTATTATATATATTTAATAAATAAAATGACCAATAAACCCCATAACAAAAAAAAAGTCATCAGCAAACTCAGTGCAAAAGAATCATCAGTGAATCATGGAACCCAAAACCAAGTGCAAAAGATCAAGCGGGAAAAGGCTTTTTACCAACTGACCAGTTATCCTTCTCATCGGCCTTGGAACCACCACCAAGTGAACCATGTCATTTTGCCCCCCTATATTGAATGACACGAGAGATTTTTCATTTTTTAACCAACGCCAAATTAGCAACCCCGTCTATCCTGGATGGCTAATCGAAGTTTGAAACTCTGTAAGGAAAATGTAATACCCGCCTTAACATTATTGAAAACACACCACACATAATACACTGTTATGGTAATTAGGATTAGACAAATCTCTAGCTTAGATTATCATGGTAAAAAAAAAAATTAGACTCAAATCATTTTTATAAAACATTTTAAAAAGGTTGGGATCCCATAGAACTTTTTTTAAAATGTGTTTGAGCTCAAAAATTGATTGAAAAATCAGAGTATTTAAATAATACGAAGCATGTAAATCAAACAAGATAAGATAACAAATCAAATTATGGTCAAAAGATCCAAGATAATAGTTTTAGCTCATTACGCTATAGGATGTGGTACAATAAGCACACTTCAACATTTTTAATATTACACCGTGGCATGCACATTTTATCCCATAGCACCATGGGACATTCAATGTAGCAAATTATATCGACTAACATCATAGGACATTCGGTGCAATACTATATTGGGACTGTTACTATAGGACATTTAGACAATCTAGCAACTCTCTTGTGCCTATAAGAGTGTGGTTAAGAGTTAACAACACCCTTATTATGAGTATGAGCGAAGGAAAAAATTATAGTTCAGAAGTATGATAGAATGCCTTTGGCCGGATATCTTTATCATTGAATGTGTGCTTGGTTCAATATGTGATTAATTCATTAAATCCTGTGGTTTTAAGTTTGGGAGCTTTGAATGATGGTAGATAAATGATCATGTTAGAGGTTGTGATTGTGTGAAAAGAATTATAAAGAGAAAAACTATGTTTATAATTGATATATATACTCTTATTTAGTTTTATTTACTTATATGTGATTATTTGTATTCATAAACATTCAATGAACTATTTTAGTTATTGAAATTTTGATTTCACCTATGGTTATTTATATTTTCATAGGTTTTGACATTAGCGGTGCTGAAAGAGAAGATTTAGGCCAGGATTAGGGATTTATTGTCGAAGCACATTGTAAGAGTTTGTTATAATAAACTTGTGTTATATAAGTTGTATACTTGTGTATAAGTTGTCACAGGAGTACATAAATGCGCGTAAGCATTTTGATTGTGAATGAATGCATGATATTGTATCCAAAGCTATGTGGTGTATGTGTATGTATGACTTGTAAATACTAGCTTGATGTGATGTATACATGTGTTTTGACGTAATTGTGATAATCTGGGCTAGTGATTAAGTATCTGTGCGTATGAAAAAAAAAATATAGTTTGATAAATGTGTTAACTTGGCCATCAATGTAAATTTTAAATGAGAAATTGTGAAAATGTTCAAGTGCACGCACGCGTGATAGACAGTTAATCAGCCAAAAGGGTATATATGTGTAATATCATGAATATAAATAATCAATCAGGTGTAAATTATCCCATTAGACATAGTCAAGACCTTAAAAGTAGTCAATGACTTAAGATTTCCAAGCGTGATGTTCAAGTGGAGGATTTTGACTTAAATTGATCAAAATACACTTAAGTGATTAACTTTTAAATGAAATGTTAGATTTAAATGAAACCAGTGTCATTGATTAGATTTTACAACAAGCTTTGTGTGAACGCTTAAATCACCTCAATTAAATATCAATTGTGAAAATAGTGCATGCCAAAAGTTTGCACCAACGATTGCTATTTTGACAATAAAATCTAATATATATGCCACAACATATGTGTCAACATATCACAGCACATGACACAGAACAAACGCTAGTGCCTATTTTTGTGGGTGTTGCAAGATTAAATCTGGACCGTCCACTAAGGCAAAGTAAATTTTGGAACCTCCAGTTAAATATTTTAAATTTATATTTTTAAAATAAAAATTATAAAATTTTTTAATAAATATACTTATCAATTTAATAGTTTAAATTAATATGAATAGTCCAAATTTAATATTAAAAATTAAATTAACTTTTAAATATATTTTGAACAAATTTGTAAACTTATTAAAAAATTTTAATATTAAATTTAAATCATTCATATTAAATTTGAATTGTCAGATTGATATAAATATTCATTAAAATTTCTTACAATTTTTATATATTTTTTATTTTAAAAAATTTAAATAGTCTAAATTAAATTTTAACAGTTTATTTGTTTATTTATTTATTTTTGCTCAAGTGGAGTGGAAAGGAGGCCTCCTCCAGAGGAAGAGGAAGAAAAAAGTTAGAGAAAAACTCTAACTTTGCCTCTTTCAGAGAAAAAGTCTTTTTTTTTTTTAATTCAAAGTGACATTTAAATGTTAAAGTCAGCTTAAGTTAACAGTAGAATAATATTGTCTAATAAAAAATTAAGAATCCTAGGCATACTTAATGAAAAAAATTCTGAGACAGATTTGCTCATTAATCTTTAATTTTTTAAAAAAAATTAAACAAAGTTTTTGTTTGGTAGAAAATTTTAAATAAACTTGTGAAAATAAGGAAAGAGGGGGGAAAAAGTTAAAGAAGAACGAAGGCACTGGGCCAATGGTCCCCAGCCTTGCCTAATCTGCCGCAGCTATTCGAGTTTCAATATAGGAGCCATCTGTCAGCGCCATATGGCTTAATATTATTGGATGCCGCTACAATACACGGATCGCTATCACCATCACTTTAGAACCGTAGATGTTTTGAAGCAAACGGCTTTGATATCCTATCACAAAACGATCGAGCTCCTCACGGCTACCAGACCTTGTATAAATGTTGCAACCAAACGTTTCCCGCTCCCTCATCCAAAGCTCCCATAATTTTCCGTTTGTTTCTGGAGAAGTGTCAAGTTATCTTCATTAATGGATACCGGAGGAAAGTTGAAGAAAGGTGCCGGAGGAAGGAGGGGAGGTGGCCCCAAGAAGAAGCCGGTGTCTCGCTCCGTCAAAGCCGGTCTCCAGTTCCCCGTCGGAAGGATCGGTCGCTACTTAAAGAAGGGAAGGTATTCCCAACGTGTTGGCACCGGAGCTCCGGTTTACCTCGCCGCCGTGCTCGAATATCTTGCCGCTGAGGTAAAGATCATCGCATCAATATTCTAGGGCTTCTTTTTCGATGATTTCCCCCAAATATTGTAGGGCTATCTGAGTTGGAAGTTGAAACTACTGTTTCTCTCCCACTTTATTCGATGTTTTCTTGAATCGCTGTTTATACATTACTGGTAAATGTTTGGATTAAGGGCTGACGCTGATCTATTTAAATCAATTGTGCTTCTTAGGTGTTGGAGTTGGCTGGAAATGCTGCTAGAGATAACAAGAAAAACAGAATCATCCCAAGACATGTTTTGTTGGCGGTGAGGAACGACGAAGAGCTGGGAAAACTGTTAGCTGGCGTGACCATTGCTCATGGTGGTGTGTTGCCAAATATCAATCCCGTTCTGCTGCCTAAGAAGTCTGAAAAGGCCACCACAGAATCTAAGTCCCCATCCAAAGCCACAAAGTCCCCTAAGAAGTCTTGAATTGCCTTAACAGTGACTTGAACGTTCATCTCTGTGTACGTAGTTGTGTCTGTAGTGTAACTTGTATGGAGATCTATTCGATAAAATTGTAGGCACATGGCAATTACTGTTTTATTATCCGTGTAGAACTCTTGTTGCATTCTAATGAAATGACAAGGGCTTAATCCTCTATTTCTTCGTATTTGTTTTAAATCTTAAATTTATTTATTATTTTTTTGGAATTTAAATTTAAGTTTAAATTGCGGCGCACCACCACATCTAATTGCTGATTTTGCATCAAAGTCTGACCCAATTCAATAATGACCGTATGTTATATGATGCTTAAAGACAAGGGGGCTGCGGATCTTCGACGTCTGCAAAGTACTTGGACGAAATATTGGTAAGAAATGCCTCTAGCGTTTAAAATAATGATAACGATAATAACAATATTAATATTAATCAAAATATAAGATTGGTGATATGGGGAAAGTATTCTATAAATGAAGAAATAGACGATCAAGTCGCAGATTTTGGCAAACATGCTCCAAAATTGTTAGCTTAAAGGCGATTATCAATCTATGATTCTTTTTATTTTATTTTTTGGGAAATTTGATTATCCTCCAGTCACTTGCAATTAAAATTTCTGTTACAGTATTGAATCAGGAATAAACTTCTAAGATTATTGTGTATACAAATGAAGATTTAACCCTTAAGTAACTACTTTGCTAAAAAGAGAAAAATTGTATACACAATAATCTTAGAAAAGAGATGCGTCCAAGGGAAACCGGAAAGACCTAGTGAAACCATTCATTTGCTTCATTTCTTTTCTAGTGTATAAATTGTCCATTCTTCCAAAAAAATTCTCAAGATCACATCTTGCCCTCGTTAAAAAGTGTGGAAGGTTGGTTTTCAGCCTTGTGGCATTCCATGATCGGTTCCATAACACTTCGGGTACAAACTGTCTTGAAGATTGGATCCAACAAAACTGAAGCAGACACCTTAGAGATGGGCAACGAGGTTTTTGGTCCGTATTATTGCCACTCAACTGCAAATAGCCCAAAAGAACTGAATTGTTGTTACTGCGAATTCTTGATCCTGCGGCTGAGTGCGCTGTCGGTTGACCGACATAAGACCTACACTTACAAAACATTTTTTTTAAAAAAAAATGGTATTATATGGTTGAATCCTGGACTAATGTCCCAATCAAGAAAACAACTTATCAACCAAGAGTAAGCGAGCCAAATTCACCTGTTTATCCCGTTACAAGAGAAATTAGGAGCTACAGAACATCGGCTGTGGAGATGATCATTGGAGAGAATAGCATGTTAAAGCGTTGGTCAATGACTTCTTTCATTAACGTCATTTTCGACCATTAATGGCCCGACATCTCACAAAATTACTAATTTAATGTTTAAATACTTAAAACAGCTCCTATTAACTCTATTTAAATTAAAGAGTTAATATTCATAGCTTATATAAATCAAAATTTATCATTCTAATTCAAATTCTAACTTTTCAATTATAGAAAATAGAAGAAAAAGGAAGCAGGGAGCTAAATATACTTTGAGTAATTAAAAGCTTCAAAATATTCTCAATGATCCTTAAACTTATGTCCCAAGTGACATGCTCTCGTTTTCTCCTTTTCTTTTTCTTAGTTCTCTATCTGGTTTGCGGGTGCTTACAAAAAATTATGACTACACTCCATAGCACACACCACGATGCATAACACAAAAAAATCCATCCTCCCTTGCTCGTCCTCTGTGCATTGTAGTGAACATGTTACATGCCATGACATATTGCACAAAAATTTTACTTTAGCTTTTCTCATGTTTTTATGTCAATGTGACCTGACTACACCTGAAGCCTACATTTAAAGCTAAAATCACTAGCAAAAACACTTATTAAACCTTTCTAACCATACATGACGGTAATTCACTTAATTACCTTCTTTTACTTAATACTGATTAATTTTTTAGGATGTTACATTGGAGTAATAGAGTAAAATGAAATATTTACATTGTAGTTTTAATAATAAATAGTTAATAGTAATTTGAAAGTGAGCTTAAAACATCAGATTATACATCAAATGAAAAAAATTTAGCTATTTGAAAACTATCATTCAACATAATAAGGAAATTGATGAAGATGTTGTACCTAAAATGCAAATTGAATGGTTTAATTAAAAAAAAGTTAAAAAGTAATTTGTGATTGAAAAATACCTAATAATCATAAAAAAAATTTTATCAAATTGTTATAAAACCCGCCATGTTATATGATATTAAATGTTGAGCTTAAAATAGATATCAGAGGCATAAAGTTAAAGTAACAGAAATAATAATGTTGAAATGAATGTGCGAGCATAAATAAAAAAATAAAATCCAAAATAATTATATACAAGAAAAGGTAGGCGTGACATCTATTGAGAAAAAAATAATAAAAAATCATTTAAGATAATTAAGACATGTATAAAAAAAATAATGGCAAGAACCAATGAGCAAAATGAAACGAATAATCTTTAACCTAATAAAAAAAAGATAGAGGAAACCTAAAAAAAACATTCGCAAAAATTGTTGAACAAAAACTTAGTTAACAATACTCCTAAGAACTTAATTAACAATAAAACACAATGATGTTACACAACTTATATAAGTTACTCTACTGAGTGAAATAAGACTTAATTGTTGCTGTAAGTTACAATATATACTAATATTTTGGAGACTAATGAAAAATAAAATTCCATTCTGACCTTTTCTTAAAATCAGAAACCGCATACATAATTCGTGAGAGGAAAAAATTACCTATCAATGTACACACGTTAGCGCGCACTTGCATGCTTGCTTTCCCATTACATTGATAGGTAGTTTGTCAAAAGAGTGTTAAATTTTTCAAGGAAGGTTGGGCAATCAGGAGAAAAATTCAGACCCACACATTGTGGTGGTAAATTAAGAACAATGGCTGAAAATATGAACAATGTGTCTAATGTGAAATTCTTTTCTAAACGAATCAAATTGTGATCTCTCCACTTGCAACGGAAAAGGTGAAAGGGCAAGCCGGCAAGGGAAACCAAAGAACTCTAAAGATATACTGAACTACAGATATACTAAGGCCGACGTTGCAACTGAAGAAGTTGGGCAATGGGTTCTTGCCTTGCGGTGGAGAATGCAAATGAAGTGTGGTCCTCAGCAGCATGGGACAAAAACTGCCAAGGAATTCTCGATTCTTTCTAACATACAAAGGAAATTAGGAATATCTTTCCTATCGAACACAGTAATTCGCAGTCCCTTAAGAACAAAACACAAGTCAACCAAACAGTTTTTATCTATATTCCTTACTCTCTTTTTCCTTGCTTGGTTTTTTTACCTCCACAGCCAGGGTCTGACAAATTCTCCCTATCTTCGGGGACATGAACCATGGTTTACAAATTCAATTGTGAACTCAAATGAGATAAGTAACACAGCAACACCAAGTTAAATACCTACACAACTTAATCGATAATTCAAGTCACATGTGACAGATTTTATAGAATCTTTTATCCCCTAACCAAAAAAGAAAAGTGAAATAACCATTTGACTTTACATTCTCTTCTCTCTATTGTAACATTTTTCTTCATCCCACTCCCCCCGGGAGAATATTATAAAAAGCACAATTGTATTATGAGAATTAAGAGAATGTCAAGAATGGTTTAGCTTCCAAACCACAAAACATCATAGATGCTAAAGACACAGACGACAATATACTCGGTAAATGTATGCAAAATTACTCCAACATCTTGATCCTTACAGGTGAAGTCCATTCGGTTATCCAAATGGCATGCTTCGCAATTGTATTCACAGCCCCTTACGAATTGATGCTTCTTAGTAATGAGCGGAAGTATTCCTGAAATTTAACAATCCACTGATCATGTGTTTCATGGATAAACATATTTTTCAGGGTGACTGACTAGTTTGATGAACTTTAACATCCTAAAAGAGTTTGGTTTAACGAAACAGTTGTCATCTGTGATAATCAAAGTTTAATAATGGCTCATTTTTACCACAAATTGTCAACCAGACAGCATGAGGCTAGGGTGAAATTAGAACAGCAAAGAGTAATATGCAATAATTAAGAGAACAGCAAAAGTCAATCTTTTAAATAATGAGTAGAAGATCAGATTTGACGCGATAGTACATTGTTGACCGTAGATGAGACTTCATAGAATACACTGTTGTTGATAAGGGGCTTTTCGCTTACATTTGTTAGCTGAGATTGGTGTGCTTCGCATAACCAGTCCAGTCTTCACAAGACACCACTAATAACAGAATTGTTAAGGGAAAAATATTGCAACTTTGCTTTGATCACCTGCCCTCTCACTCAAACAGTCAAAAAAAGGGGAAACCAGCTGGTAAGCAAAAACTTAATAATCCTTCAAAATAATCAAACATAAAATCACTGCAATCAGAATAGGTGAAGTACCTCTTGAATGGAGGCTCCTGTGTTTTGAATAAAGCACCCTTGGCTAAACGGGCACGGAGAACAACAGTTTCCATGTAGCTACTCCAAAATACTGGCATAGTTTCTCAATGCTGGGTATTGCTTATTCATGCCTGATTATGGCAAAGTTCCGTGGGACGAGAATCAAGTGCTGATTCCAAAAAATAATTTCAATTGTTCACAACTTCAGTGAATGAAAGATAAGCAAGGAACAATAAACTTCGCGATGCCAAATGCAAACTACTATAATTCAAAATTCCGTTTAGCATCATAATACTCTTCCAGGTTGATAATACAGGACTCACATCACAGCATACGTTTCGGGCATGTTGAGGAACTATACTCACTATCAGTAGCGAGCCATCAAACCTCTTCCCTCCCAATGAAACGTGATACTGAAATACGGATTGAAACTAGAAACTGGAAACTCGGAAATCTGTCACAATGGAAATTAGGCCAAAGTTAATGGTATATAAAGTATCTGCAAGGCTGAATCGCATAAGTTACGGTCTCACAAAAGGAATTCAGTCAACTGATGATACCAATGACAAAGATATCGTCTTTATATCATCCACGCATCTCCAGAATCAATAGATAGCATCAAGAAGCTCGCTTAAGCAGAATTCGATCGCAAATCAGTTAAGCTACGGAGATGTCAAGATTCAGACCGTAAAGCTCGCGCATATTCTGAACAAATATTTAATTAAGAACTGTTCATAGCATTACATATGCAGCACCAGAAATCGAGAAAGGAAAATAAAGATAAACCCTAATCAGACAGGAACCGATTGGGCTAGACAGAAAACCCTAGATCCCCAAAATAAAAGGACGAACCGCCACATCTCAAACTAATCGCAGGACAGATCCTATCCAAATTACGAGCTCGTAAACTTTGTCACGGCCTTGGTTCCCTCGGAAACAGCATGCTTAGCCAATTCTCCAGGCAGCACCAATCGCACAGCGGTCTGGATCTCCCGAGAAGTAATAGTCGGCTTCTTGTTATACCTAGCCAGTCGAGATGCCTCCTGTGCAAGCTTCTCGAATATATCATTGATAAAACTGTTCATAATACCCATGGCCTTGCTGGAAATACCGATATCAGGGTGGACCTGCTTCAAGACTTTGAAAATGTAAATTTTATAAGTCTCGACGCTCTTCTTGGCCTTCTTTTTCTTCTTGTCGCCTCCCTCCTTTGAGATCTTCTTCTCCGCCTTGGGCTTCTTCTCCGCTGGTGCCTTCTCGGCCGGCTTCTTTTCCGCTGGCTTCTTCTCTGCCTTTGCCGGAGCCATCTGTTCAAAAGAGACCTCTACTTTTCTGAGTGGTTAGCAAGAAGGCACAAGGAAAGGGCGCGTCGCTTAGGCAAGGGGCTCAGAGAATGATATGATACGAGGAAGTGAGATGCTAGTGATATATATAGGGAGTATAGATGCGTTCTAATTGGAAGAGAGGGCTCAGGGCGGATCAATGACGTGTTATATTATACAATCGTTGATTAAGTTTAAATTTTGACGGATGAGATTTCACCTTATCGTATTCGTGCCGAATCCCTACCCTGGCTGGGTTCCTTGAAATTCGCGTAGTATGTGCACTGAGTTGTGACAAGGCTCGAAGCCCGCCTAGCACTTGTTATGATAATGATAATGATAGTAATATTTAAATCGGTCCAGTCCATTGCGTGTGACCGTGTGCGAATGTGTGTGAACTGTACAAAGGGGTTCATTTTTTATGCATAAAAAAAATACATTATGAGTAAATAACATTATTTGTAATTTATCAATAGTATAGCTTTTAATTTTTTCTTAATATGCTCATTCTGATATATTTTCCTTTGATGATGCGCATAATAAGTAATATGAAAAGTTAAATCAAAGGTCTTTGCAATCTATCTCAATTTTGTGGTTTTTTTCATAGTTTAAAAGTTTTTAAATCCCCATCTCCATTTGACGAATGATGAGTTAAAAAATATAAACTATGCTGTTTTAATGTAAATTTTTCTTGTTTTGGATATTTGAATGAAGAGTTTAAATTGTATTTTTTTGGGAAAAAATGTTTTGAAGTCCCTTTCTATGCGTCTGAATGGTTGCCTAATATCCTCACATTTTTTGCAAAAATAATTCTTATTATAAATCAAATATATATTTTTACAAAAAAAGCTTACTACAAAAAATAAGGATTAACTAGTTTTAAATTTGAAGCAAATCAAACCATGACTTTGCAAATTTTGATTATTATATTGGCTAAATGTATAAACCTATCTTTAAAGTTTTCATGCAAACTTAATTGATATCTTAAAAGATTTTTTGACGCAATGTTACTTTGATATTTCTCAAAACAATACAATTTCACATTGACTTGACTGACAAGCCCAGATGGTTGATCGTTGGTTAGCATAAGCACGTTTTGGTGGCATGCCAATGTGGCATATATTTCATCAATTTTTTTAGTTAATTAAAACTTTGTTTGGCTAAAAGTATTCTTCAACCCTGTCACCTTCTTCATTGTTCATCTCATTCCTTTTGTTAGACACCTCCCTTGAACAAGCATCCTCCAGCGAGAAATGAACAGCAGCTTCAATGTTAGGGTGACGAATGTCTTTAGAACATCAACCAACAACTTCATGTGTATTTGAGTTTCAGTTTGATAAAAATACATTTGACAAAAGTCAGTTATTATAATAAAATTTATGTTTGAATATATTTTTTTTTAAATTAGTTTAATAAATCGAAAGTTGTTTAAATTAATGATGTTTTGTACTTTTAAAGTGTGTGTTTAAATATGTAATGACAAAAAAAATATTAATTTATGATAATTTATAATTTTTAGTATAAAAATATAATTTTTAAAAATGTGAAAAAAAATTAAAATAACATAAAATTTAAGATGTTGAACAATAAAAATAAAAAAATATATAGTTTAATGTTAGAAAACATTATGTAATAATAGTTCAACATTTATTAATATTGAATAGTTACATGATTAATGGTTCGATATATAATATACAATCTGATCTCTAATAGAATCATGATTAATAGCCATATTTAAAATTGTACTTAAAATTAATGATGAAAATACATGCTCGTCATTACCATCATGAGTGTTAATGATATTTTCATTCTCAAAATATCTGAAGTTAAAATCAGTTGCAGATTTTTTTGTAATAAAATTATGTATAGCCATTATTGCACCAACTTTACAAACTTATGTCACAGATGGATAGTTATTTGTCATAAAATTGGGAATCTATTTTTTCAAACCCTAAAAGTCCTTTCAATCGTGGTCCTTAAACTTGAATGATAATAATTAAAAATCTCATTATTATTTGTAAATCTAGATGAATGCCTAAAATTTAGGAGGCGATACTTACGAGATCTATAAGGACTTAAATATCCCTATGGCATTGGATAGCCAACATCCATTAAATAATATTTACCCATCGATAAAAACATAAAAATTATAGAAATTAATTAAATATTATAATAGATTATTTTAAAACATATAAATATAAAATATACTTAAGGGTATCATAGTCATTTAAACAATTAGGTACATAATTACTTTCCTCATAATTGCTCCCAGCTCTCGTTTGAAATCCACCAAAAAGTAAAGTTTCAAAATTCACATTTCAACTCATTTTAAAAAAGTTATTATGCTCTCTAAAACATTATCCAAATAAATCTTAACATTCTAAAAGTTTAAAAGTCCATTTCTAAATGCACCCTTCATCAATCCTACCTTCTCCATCTTCTTCGTTAACAATGTTCTAGAGATTAAGCAATAAAAAATTTCAAAAAACAACAACACTCTAAAAATTACAAATTCTTGAAATTGAGAAATGAAAAAATAACAAGATTTTTGGGACTAAATGTTAGTAGGATAAAAAAAAACCACAATCAAGGAAGAAAATCAAAAAAATCAAAAAATAACAAGGAAGATAATAACAATGAAGGAGAACACAAAATCATGGAACAGACGCTTCTTCACACACAAATAAAAAGATCCAAAGTGGTTACTGGGTATAGAAATGATGCTATCGTATATGCCAAGGAAACTCCTTCCTGTGTCAAGGCAAGCCTTGCTCGTATGCTCAAATAGGCAATGACAATTCTTATCATGACAAAGGCCTGTATTGGGCACTTTATGGGAGCTCAAATCCTTAAAGTGAGTGGGATCAATTACATAGATGAGAGTGAGGTCACCATGGTCATTGATGTTGATAACTACACCAACATAAAAACTTTTGCATTCAATTTGTTTGCTATTATTGAAATCTCGAGGAAGCTCTCTAGCAAATTCACGAAGGTGCGGCCATGATTCATGCCAAAAGGGAGATTTTAAGCAAAAGGAAGGGTACATTATTGTGATATGGTAGGATTTGAAGTTTGAAGGGAGGGAGGAGGGGTAGACAACAACAATAGAGATGGCAATGAGGGGAGAGAGAAGGGAAGTGGTAAAGAAAGGAGGGTAAGGGTTTGGATCAAAAGTAATGAAAAAGAGGAAGATGATGCTTACATGATATTAATGTGTAAGTCTATTTGGCATGCCACCTTAGCAGTCCACAATCAAACCAATGATCAACAAGGTCAAATTATTATATAGGGCAAATTTGTATTGTTTTGAAAAATGTTAAGGCAATATTTTGCCAAAACATGCTTTAAGACACTAATTGAACATATGTGAAAATTTTGGGGGTAGATCTGTATGTTATGCTTATTATATTTTACTATCGTGTTTAAAGCTTGGTCAAAATGTTTTTTAATATGTACTCTCTCTGGACCATAATACAAAGCATGTTCTAAAAGAATTGCTTAATCCAAAATATAAGACATTAGGCAGCTTTTATAATTATTTTTTCAACTAGGCCCTTCTTTATTTATCATTCATTTTGAAAAAAATGACACATTAGAATTTTAATTATCATTATCAAGACACTTATACATGATATTTAATGAGGATAAGACCGGAAAGATGTAAATTTTTTTTAAGAAATCAAAATTTCAACTAACATATTTTGATAACTGTGAATTAATTACTAATGCCTTACATTCTGGTTCAAAGAGAGTATAACTACCCTTAGCATTTAGAAATAGTTTATTTTAATGGTGATTTATTTTTGTTAAGCTAGTGGCTTAATGACATATAAATCTACCAACAACATAGTTTGATTTGCAACCTATAAATAAGAGTGCACTAGTGCATGCACGAACCCAATGTATAACCTTTGAGTTCTCAGGCATTATCTCACTTCACTATAAAATTTTGAGTTGTATCCCCATATTTGTTTTTTTTGTTGCTTGTTTCATTCCCTTTTTGTTTACAAAAAAAGTTTGTTTAACCTTGAAGAGCTGCCACATTACTTGTGCAATGAAGTAGCTCTTAAAAACAATGTTATCAAGCACAACTTAAATCGAATTTTACACTATAGCGACCAACATGCTAGAACGTAAACTTTTTTTCTTTTCCAAGCAAGCGGCAAAATATTTCCAACATTCTTCTCAATCTTTAATGGGTAAGAAATTATACCAAGGCAGGTTTGCAGCAAGTTCATTTTCAATTTGTTTGTCTTGTATTTTTAAGTGAGCTGCGAAATATTTTAAACTTAGAGACAGTATTTTAAAAGTTAGATTGGATATTGAATTGGAAATACCAGCAGGTTATGAATTTAATAGTTTAACTTGTCAGATCGATGGGTGAATCGGTGATATAATAATTTTAAAAAAATGTAATGTATACAATATATGTAAGAAATTTGAAATAAAAAATAAACAAATAATTTTAACTTTATTCATAACAAATAATAGTAAAATTTAATTCACTGGCAACCATAAATTTAAATAGTTAAAAGGAGATACTATTTCTTTTAAGGGGAAAAAAAAAGCATGCTGCTCATTAGCTAAAGAGTTAAAATTAATAAATAATAATTAAAATACGTATATATATATATATATATATTTTTGCAATGGATTAAATACAAATACAGTCTACATAAATCTACATATACTCACCCCATTTTCTACAGAGCAAAGTGACCTCCAAAGAAATGACAACATAACCACCCACCACATTCACACCTACCCAACTTTTACCCACATAAAAATAGAACCCGCAAACTCTCTCTTCCAAAAGAGGCAGCGCTATCAAGCCAAGAAGTTGTTGACATAATGGGGAGATGTGGGACGTGATGACATGTTTCGCTGGTACTGTTGAAATATTTGAAAATGATAAATTTTCTGTATTTTTTTTTTTAAACTCAAGTAAGGATTCAGACATTCAGTTTTATTCTGGCCCAAAAAATAAAAAACGCATTCAGTTTCATATTAAAAGAAATTAAAAAGATTTAAGAATTCAAATTTAAATGGGAGAATTTTAATAAAGGACTTCAACCATATTTAATTATATTCAAAACTTCTTAATTTTTAAAATTTCACTACAGTTTAGAAATATAATTTGATATTAAATTCTTTAAAAAAATAAAAAACCCTTCATTTAATTTAAATTAATATTAAGACTTTAATACTTCACCTGTTAATTATCTTATTTCACTTATTCGTTTATTTATTGAATTTTGTTTATTGTCCTATTTCATTAGTTTACTTTCCTGGAATAAAATCAAGTGAAAGTTTAATAATGAACAAGTAAATTAGAGTAATAAACAAATGAAGTAAGACAATTAACAATAGTTCATAAATAAATGAATAATGCATAATATAGAAAACAACAAGCTATCTTAAGATGATCTAAAATGAAAACAAGTTAAGTAAGAAAGTTATAGTAATTCTTTTGTTAAGAAATGTAAGGCATTTTTAATCGAATATCACTCCTCAATAAAATAGTTATCTATTTCTCAATTAACTCTATATTTTTATATTTACCTCTATTAAACACTCTATGATAAATATAAAGTCATTATCAATAGGGATACTTTTTAAAAATAATGATTACACATCGAAAGATTAAAAATGCCTTATATTTTTAAACAAATTTTTCAAAAAATACTTTATATTATTAAATGAAGAGAGTATTTATTTAAAGGAGAAAAAATTTGTCACTTCCCTTAAAAATTTAATATGAAATAAATACTTTTAAGTTGTAGTCTAATTTTAAAATTTAAAAGTTTTAAATGTTAATAAATTTAGTCAAGGATTTTTTATTGAAATTTTTTCAATTTAAAATTTCACCCTGCTAATCCTTGGCCCAAGCTGTCTGCCCTAGTTCTGAATTCCTATGACCTCCAATCCTAGCTTGGAAAAGTCGTGCTGGGACATATAATTTTTATCTAATCTCTTTGACATAGGAAATTAGGTTGGGGATATTTGCAGCCCATTTGGAATTACAAGCCAAACTCATGGGTGTGAACATTTCTATAAAAACTTTTTGTTAGCTATTGTAATAATATATTATCATCGTTATTTGAAAGCTTGATGTCTGACCGAGCCTGGGTCTCATAACAAGTTTATTTTCAAGCATGTTTTCGCTTTTAAAGTTTCAAGCACGTTGTCAGATATTTCCAACCTATCACAACACTTAAATATTGCATTTATCTAAATATTTGTCCCTAGCTGTTTAAATTTGGAAGTTGATCTCTTTATACTCTCTCTGGTCTTATTGATAAAACGTGTATGTTTGTTTGTTTTTTTTTTTTTTTTTTTGGTCTGGATTGTAAAGCATGTGGTTAACTTCTACTGTGACTTTTTTCTTTATCCCATTAAATGTTGACTTATGTTATTAGACATTCACTCCATCCTTGAAGCCCAGGCAGCAAGCAGGTCAAGGGGCAAATGGTTTTTGAAGAAGCATGGCCTGCTTATTATTATTCTGCCATCCAAGTCTAGGGCTTAGGCCGCAAGCCCAATTCGCTTCCGCTTAAATTATTTCCGTAACTCACTGTGGGACCTGCACTAAAAAACCGAATAGGTTTGGCGACAACAAAAATAAAAAATCAAAACTAAAATTTTATTCTCGACTGCTCGTCAATGAAATTGATCAATTTCGTCACTCAGAATTACAAAAAATAACTACGGCAGTGAAAGTAGGGAAATTTCAGGATAATGTCCAACTTCAAAATTACCAGAGCAAATCTAAAGAGAAATATGAAGACGGGACAAGATGGAGAGGATGATCAATCAAACTTTAGCTTTTTTGTCAATATACTATAAACACAAAAAGAAATTGCCTAAATGCTACAGTGTAAAAAATATTTATCAAAATACTACATACAAAATTGTTCAAGTAAATAATGAGTTTGAAATTGTGAATAAATTTAAAGTCAATAATTATTTTTTTATTCAATACAAAATAAATTTGTTCGTTAAGTGAACAATTTTAACTTTTTGTTATTGATGTAACAAAATCTTTACTTTTTTCTTGTGTGAATGATTTGTCAAATCCCTTCTTCACTTGTTAAATTTCTCTTCTAACTTTTGATTTCAGGCGTGACATTATAAAATTCACATGCATGTGCTTTGAATTGACTATATAAGGAATTGAAAACATATGTTCTTGCTTGCTTCTCATTCTTGCTTGCTCCATTTCTTGCATGCTTCATTCCCTGTGGTTTCTCATTTATCTCTTATTCAAATTTTAAAGCTCTATTTTTTATTCAATTTCTTTACTCCAATTGATGGTGTTGGTGTTTTGATCAGAGTTTAAAGTACATTTTTTTCATTTTTATTTACTTAAAACTTGACGTTCCATCTAATTAAAGTATATTTTTTTAATTTTTTTTAACTTTTATATCAAAGTTATTTTTTCAAGTCATAAGTAAAAGATTAATATTCAATCATTAATGTTTTGTAAGAAAATCTTAACATACAAAATATCAATGATTAAATATTATAGAATAATCATTTTCTTAAGATGCACGTGTAGTTAATTTTTTTATAAAATAATTAGGGGTAGAATCAACAAAAATATAGGGGTCAAATTTTTAAAATTGATACACGATCTTCTGTATTTTTTATTTTTAATATTTATACTAATTAATTGTTTGTGTAAGTTTATTACTTTAAAAATCTTAGAGAATAAATTACATATAATATTAATCACAACAAATATATCTATAAATTATATATGGAATTATATATCTATAATATTAATCATAACAAATACAAATAATATAGGAAAAAATTATCCAATAAATAATATAGAAAAATTTAAAAAGTGAAATTATATATCTCTAACATTAACCATAACAAATATAAGTAGTATAGTAAAAACTTATCAAATAAATAATATAGAAAAAAATATATATTTGACATATTAAAAACTTAATTTATACAAATTCTTGATTTTTTATAATACTTTATATGGGAAAAATGCGTATGTTACAAACATGGCATGTCCTCATACAATTTTGGCCTAGGAAAAAAGGTCAGACAACAAACAAACGCATACATATGCATAAATTATATAAATTATGCAGAAGGCAAAAGCTGTTGGGATTTTGAATTGTATCCAAAAAATTATGAGTAAAAATATCCAAAGGGTCCTAATAATATTGAGTGGTGGAACTTGGCCTCCTTAAGGGTGACATGGTTCCACCTCGGAGAATAATTATAATTAATTTATTAATAAAAAGATTAAATACACATAAAAAATTATTACATGTATGTAATACTTCATTCAGTCTTAAATATAAAAGTTAGATAAATAATTTATAAATATTTAAGAAATTGATTAAGTTAATTATTTTTATAATTTAATTTCTTTGGGGTGTTAATTGTATAATATAATATTTAGGAAATAAAATAGATCATAGAAAATAGTTTGTATGTATATTTACAAATGGACAGATTTTTCATCGTATAGCCAGTCTAACATTTGAGTCAAATACTATAAAAATAATAAAACTTAACCCAAATATTAACTTGGACATATTGAAGCAACTTATTGGGCAAAAGATGTAACACCCTCAAATTTACAGACCGATTTTTCGCAAATCATTAATTCAACAAATCATTTTTTTTTTCATTGAACCCTTATCATGGTAGAAAAATTTCTACCACGATACATCCAAGACAATATACCACAGGTCTTAAAATATCTCAAAAAAAAACAATTAGAACCATAAGGGACAGACATGATCCTTATAGCATGTTATTCAAATCAGATCATGAATCAAGAGGGACAGACATAATCCTCTTGGTCATGTAAATACTTTTAATAAAAAAGATTAGAGTTTACATGCTTCACAAAGAAGATATGTCCTAAGTTGGCACAAGATACATTGTATAATCTAAAATAAGAGGCAGCGTAAAAGATGGTGTCTCATACACCACAGTTACACCTCTGGTGCTTTCTCGGCCGGACTCGCTCCTGTAAAAATATTAACCACGGGGAATGAGACTTAAAAGTTCCAGTAACCAGAAATTAATATGTAATGATGCATGCGGATGTAACTAATCATGTGATTGCTAAGTGGGCACACAAAACATTTAACCGAACAATACTTTCAAACAAACCGAACAAGTATTTAATTTGCATGACTGCACTTTATATCCTCCTTTCGCCATGCTCGGACGCCAAATCACCCGGCCAAAGGTGAGTTGGACCAAGCGACACGCCACTCATTGGGTCCAATGAGGGCTTACCATGTGGTAATAATTAACCGAACAGAAATTTCCATTAACACCATACATTAAAATACCCTGACAAGTCATGCATTATTCAAATATCCAAACAGGAATATATCCGAACAATAATATCTCATCATGATAAATAAAAAATAAATTTTTAACCCACTTGGCAATAATTTCAAACAAGTATATACAGTATTTATTTTCAATAATTCATAATTTTTCCAAACAACAAAACAACACATAACCATTCACAAACACACTCATCACAACACATTAATAATGGTTACCTTGTGTCTTGAATAACAAGTTCCCCTTCACAACTCCTTTTTCACCACTATCTTTGTCAATATAATCTACATAATTATTTCACAATACTATATATTAATTTTACATTAAAATAAATAACTCTAATTTAAAGAATTAGAAAGTCTTAGATCTATAGTCCATATTAACACTAATTTAAGATTTATGCCTCATTTAACTTTCCAAATTCTTTTCTAAAATTCTCGTACCCTAATGAACTATTTTTTTTATCCTCAATTCACTTCTAGTATCACAATTTCATCCTTCTATATTCTAAAAATTCATCCAAAAATAAATTAAATTTTAAAATTATCCTGAAACCTTAAATCACCTTTCTATAACCTCAAAAATACCTATTCATACTTAAATAAATATTTAATAATCATAGGTTTATCCCTACATCTCAGATTCCACATAAATTCAACCATATAGATCTAGATTTTAACTCAAAAAATTTTAAACATGAGTTTCAACCTCAAGAAAATATTCTATAATATTTATTATATCCCTAAGAATTTTAACCTATATTTTTAATCCATCATATCATCAGATTAACTATTCTATAGAAAAATCCTAATCAAAATATTTACTCTATCCTACAAAATAATCATATCACTAAAAAGCTAATATTATTTAGAAAATAACTATAAAATTAATTTTGTAATTAAATAAATTTTTAAATGCTAATCTAAACAAGAAAGTTAGAACATACCTGAAGAAAAAGAAAATAATCCCCCTTGCGAGAAAACGCCGAGCAACGTGAGAGGAAGAGAGAAAAATAATATAAAAATGGGATTGTGAGTCCCAAAATTATATTAAAAAAAAACTATAGATTTGAATTTAATTATTCAAACCTTTGGGCCAAAAGTTGCAATTTTCTCTAAATTGCATCTTAGCCTCTCATGCTTCCTAATGCACACACCCCCTCCTTTTTATACATGAAGGCACCTCTTCTCTTCCCTCATCTAACCAATGTGGGACTTAGAAACAACAATCTTCCACCCCCTTTTTTTTGTTCCTTTTACCTTCTCTCTTTTTTTTTCAACGCATACATAAAAAAAATTATTTATGTATTATATCTTAACTAAATATTGTTTATGTGGTTTTAAATTTAAATTTTTTAATTCATAATTAAATACCTAACCATAATATTATTTCTAAATAACCTCAAATAATATAAATTCCTATTATTATCATTTTTTTTTCTCAAAACCTAAATTCCACAATTTCTTTATTATATAAAAAATCAGGATGTTACAAAAGACATGACTTCCTCCTGATAAATTTATTCATTATTAATAATTTTTAATTTAATACACCATATAATAATTTCTTAACCTTATTAGTAACAATTATTTACCCATCATCTTCACTCAAATAATTACTAAATTATTACACAAATCATTTGATGTGGTAGATGAAGTTGACAAGTCGTTCCTACTAAGAACAAGTTTTGGTATATCAAAAATAATGTATTGAAAAAATCATTCTTGATTTTATTAATTTTAAAAATCATTTTCCATTGAACGATTTTGGATGTAGTATTTTAGAAAATAATTCTTGTTGTATAGCATTTTGGTATTTTCTTTTACTGTATATAGTATATTTGTAAAAAAAAAACCATAAAGCTCCTGATTCATTTTGCCGATTTTTAATTTTTTTATGAATAACATTAAATATTAAACACCTTCCTTTTTTTCCAAGCTGATTCATGGTTAAGAAAAGATCAAAAGATTATTTCTCTTAGTTAAATTAGCTTCATAAATTAGGAACCATTTGTTTTTTGCTTTTCAAAAAAATGAAAACAGGCGAAACGGGTCCATGGGTTCTGGGCCCCGACCGCATCAAACTAACGTGTTATCGGTTTAATTAGGCTGGGGACCCCTCACGTGAAGGAGCCTTGCTGGCTGGACAACCTTTCTCTAGCTCGGGGCTACGATACGGCCGCATCCCGTTCAATCTCCAGGTCTGCATCCCCTAACCATTTTGATTTCCGCTCTCTCTTTTGGTGCAACCCTTTCCTGCTTTCTAGATCATTAATTCTTGAATCTGGTCCTATGTGTCGTCTCATAGCTCTGAATGCAGCTGGGTTTCGTTGGGGTTTTGTTATCCTGTTGCCTTGTCGTCCGCAATTTGTTATCCAATGATTTACAATATTTCAGGATTCCCACGTTGTTTGTGAATCAACAAGCAAGCTATAAACGTAACCTATATTCGATATGAAATTCTTTTCCGTGTTATTGAACATGTGCGTGTGTTGGCCAAAAGAAAGTGCGTGTATGTACTACATCTCTCTGCTTGTAGGAGTCTAGCATGTGTTTTCAGCATGATTTTCGAGAAAGAAAATTCCAAGCCATTGCAATGAGTCTTTCAACTTGTTGATTCATCATATCTATTTTATTCCCATTGGTAAGTAGCATAAGTTTAACAAACCTGGTTGCATATCCATAAGCCAAATTCCCTATTCGGAGCTCTAGGTAGGGCTTGCTTGACTTGAGCGAGCTGATATCAATAATGTCAGAATGGAATTTGTTTGATTTAGGGTTAAATCTTTTGGAATTGCCAACAAACTGCTTTCTTCCATATACTTTTTACTTTTCTGTTTTGTCTCTAAACCGCCAAAACTCATGCCGGTCGTTGTCTGTGTTTTCTTCATTTTGATTTGCTCTCTTTCCCACATGCAGATGCTTCCTGATGCACTTTCCCCTTTGTTTGTCATCACGTCAGTCGCATCGATTTTTTTTTTTTTTTTTAAATCTGAACCAGTTCCTTATTGTTTTATTTTGACTTGGAGTAAGGGCAGTGATGATTAGCGGCGCTTACAGCATGCTTCTCGGATGTATCACTCTAATTATATAATGCTTATGAATGGATATAAATTAGATGCTTGGGGGGAGAAGACTGACCCGTCCAATCCACTATGTTCCCTTTCCACTGATTTCTTCCTTCTTGTTATTGATGTGCCTTGCTACGTCATACATGCCCATTATTCTCTTGCTTAAAGTGATATATGTATTCTTCCGTTTGAATATGTAATAACCATGACTATCCTCTTTGTCATATTTAGTGGAGATGTTTTTGATAGAATGTGTGTTTGGTTTTATGCTGAGAAAACTAAGAACTTACTTTGAGCCATCCATCTAGAGACAAGCTTTCCTGTTAAGGTGTATTGGAATTCGTGATACTAATAAGACAGACGCACCCAAAACCATTTCTCCGCTGCCCAACTGAAATAGTCAGTTATGCGCTTTTTTGTTTTTAATTGTTTCCTTTTAGCACATCATCATGATTTCTTGCCTAGTTTTTCATTCATGTTGCCAACTTGCTATGCTCTAGTGTGATAAATTGTTATTCATGCAACAGCCTGCCCCTGAAAGGATGGTTAGAGTCAGCGTCTTGAATGATGCATTAAAAAGCATATACAATGCTGAAAAGCGAGGAAAGCGCCAAGTGATGATTAGACCTTCATCGAAGGTTATTATCAAGTTTCTTCTGGTCATGCAGAAGCATGGTTAGTGGTAGTTTGTGCGTAGATGATAAGTTCTCTTTTCACAATGTTGATATTGACTCTGCTCTTGCCTGCAGGATACATTGGTGAGTTTGAGTACGTAGATGATCACAGAGCTGGAAAAATAGTTGTTGAACTTAATGGAAGGTTGAACAAGTGCGGAGTTATCAGCCCTCGCTTTGACGTTGGTGTAAAGGAAATTGAGCCATGGACTGCCAGATTGCTTCCTTCTAGGCAGGTTAGAAACCGTTATATTAGTTTGAAATAATTATTTTATGGAAAATAGATTCTTAAATGCGATTACCAACTAACAACCATGGGTAACACAGTTTGGCTACATTGTTCTGACGACTTCTGCGGGCATCATGGACCACGAAGAAGCTAGGAGGAAAAATGTTGGTGGAAAGGTCCTTGGTTTCTTTTACTAGGCGCACATGCATTTCTGGATCTGTGTATTCCTCTTGTTTAGAGGTTTTTGCTAAGGACCACCTTGGCAAAAGATTTTGTTAGTTTTGAACTTATATTGTGTGTGAGATAATCCAAACCGTTCTAATTTACAATTAACTTCTTTAGATACCCTCATGTGATCTTCTGTGCGTATTCCTATTATACTGGTCGATATTGTTGCCCGCTTTTTGTTTAAAATTCAATCATGTCAAGTTCGCATGAACAAGGAGTCAGCAGTGATTGCACCATATAATTCCAACTTCTAGGGACTAGGATCTGGTTTTCAAAGTCAATTGGCTGTTTGACTCAGACCAGTAAATTCTTTAAAAATATTTCTTTATTTATTACGCTTGGTTCATCCTGTAGTTTTGAATCCTATGAGTCAGCAGTGTAAACCAGCCTTCATTTTCGTTTTTAACCCCCCGCCCCCCCTAAATTTTTCTTGCGAAAGCCTAGACACCCATTTTGGGGTCGTGACATGAACGGAAGAAGGCTACTGCAACGTGCCCATGATATGCTGTGAAAATTATTCGTTGAATTCAGTTTTCAACTTTCGATTGTAATGAACAAATTACGCTTAAGATACACACGTACACGATCATCTATAATCAGATCCAAATTTCTTGATTTTTTAATTTAGATGTCGAAGACAAATATTTTACATGCTACATTGCTCAGTAATCAAGATTTTAAATCCTATTGATCTAATAGAAGTAAGAGATTCATATATCCTAATAAAGATTTTCTTTTAGTATTATTTATTCCACAAGATTTAAGCTTCACGTTTCAAATGCACTTAAGACTTTAGAGGAATCGAATAATAATCACCCTTAGATAATCTTTCAAAAACTTCGACTCCTCATTTCGAACATTGTAATTGTATAGGGAAAAATGCATCACTTCAATTTATTGAATAGAATTTGCTCGCATTGGCAATATAATATATATATATATATATATATATATATAATTTGCTCGCTTTGCATATTCCATTATAACGGGGGTTAATCACCTCTCAGTCCAAATCCCCCCCCCACCCAAAAAAACCAAAAAAAAAAAAAAACAAATGAAACGAGCACGAGGGCAGAAAGTAGGCATTGGCCCTATAAACATACCCACAGCAGCTTTGCGGTGAGAAGAATGAGGCCGTAATGTATCATACAAAACTTTGATATTAAACTCTGGAAAAGTCGTTGAGTTTTAACAGTGGAGATCAAGCAGAAATATGTGTAAAATATGCATGAATTGAGAGCAATTTACATGCGACTAGAGGATACAGCTTTTCTTTTTCGTCATAATCGTAAAAAGGTAGCGTTTCGAAACCATTTCTTCCAAATATATATGAGGGCAATAAAACAAAATCCCGGACCTGCATCCACGGGTCTACGACTACCGCCTCAACCCCTCCACGATGTAGTCCGCGTACAGATCCCTTCATTGTTTTAAAAAGAAAAAAAGTCATATCATTCGCCCAAACACTATCTATCTATAATATAAAATCTAAAAAAAAAAAAAAGACACCATTTATAAGTCACAAATACAAGGTTATAATCTTGTCTAGCTGTAGCTGTATCTAAAATTGCATCTAAAACTAATATTAAAACATATTGGGAAAATTTGAACATTTTACAGAGACCTGGTTTAATCAAAATAGGTCTATTTCAAAGAATAAAAAATTTCAAGGTTATGATAAAGGAAAAAGACATGTAAAGTGAGCCAGACATTGCAGTTACTTACATGGAGTGCTGGATCGCTTCGAAGGCAGATGAAGCAGGCAGAAAGTCGTTCACCGCAACTTCTTTGTTCTCATTCTTCTTGTCTAGTTGCTCAATGAAGGAAACATAAAATTCATTTCATATGCCAAAATAAAAGAAAATTTCCATTTATTTCACCATGTCTCTAGATGTTTGTAATGTTAGTCAAATATTATGATTTCAATTCTGGAAAAGGATACAGTCTTCAAAGAAACGGCGGATTTCAGCTAAACGATGAGGGGGAAGATCTTTGATGTCATTGTAGTGTCGATACTCAGGATCATCAGCACAAACGGCAATTATCTTGTCATCTTTCTCACCCTGTATTCGTCAAAGTTAACAAGCCATCAATGATTAGATTAGAAGGCAAGTTCTTGCTGCGAGCAAACGGGGAATTTATTTAATCAATGTACCTGATCAATCATTGGCATGACACCGATAGCCTTGGCTCGCAGAAAGCATCCTGGAAGAACAGGCTCCTGTGGAAAAGAAGAAGAAGAGTAGTAGTTAAGCGGCTAAGACAGCACAAAAATCCAAAAGGCATCAAGTGCTATGAAGAAAGCCAAATTCTTCTAACGATTTGGTAGGACTAAGGAACAAGAACTCTTGCGCAGCAAATTAAAAATAATGATCTCGTCCGCAAGTAGATGTAGGCGATCCTACTCCCTGGAACTTTGCAAAACGCGTACATTTATTTATTTCAACTAGGAAAGAGCATTGCAATGAATTATAGATCGCTTCATTGAACCATTCTAGTTTACACAAATACTTTCAAGACACATGATGCGCACTAATTTACAAGAAAAAATGGTGACATTAGTACCTGCATGATGATCAATACATCCAAGGGATCGCTATCCTCACATATAGTGCGTGGGATAAACCCATAGTTGTGGGGGTACACAACTGAAGAGTAAAGTACCCGGTCAACCTGCACGCAGATGCATGTTCAGCAATAAATCATGTAATTAAGCCCAACTTAAAAATGGCAGAACAACTGTGATCACCTTGATTAGTCCAGTTTTTTTGTCAAGCTCGTACTTGACCTTGCTTCCTTTCCCAATTTCAACAACCTGCATGATACACAAGTATGCAAATCCAATAACCGAATAAGATAACCATTTTTAAGGCCAACTAGATATATTTGATCCTGTGCATATGCAGACAACTGGGGAAATAAACGGCCTTATTCATAGCTTTTAAATAGAGTGACTTGCTAGAAGTCTTATATCTTCACAAGTATCTGTGTCACATAAGAACTGGTCGATAGTTCTTTTGGGCAAACTAATTGTCAGCATAAAAAGCTCTACCAGACAGTGCTGGGATAGTGAGATGTTAATAGCTTCTCAGCATTATAAAATGCTCCCCAGTTCAACTCCTTAATCTTCCTACTCTTCCAAAATTTTTATGACGACAATAATATTCAGTTCTGTAAACTGCATGGCCAGTCATCAATTGAACAATTCGATGTCAATTAAGAATGATGCACTTTGTCATAAGTTTGAGTTCAGAATGCTTACACAGTTGAAGATTTTTGGAGCTTCAGGTCCTGAATCATGGTGAAAATTTGTTACAATTCTGAATCAATGAAGGAAAAGAAGTACATTTATATTGAAAGCGTTAGCGTGCAACGTTTTCAGCTGTGATGCTTACCTATCTCGAGATCATGCCAAGGGTGTGCAGCAACAGATCTCCTGGTCATGGACGAGAGAATCCTCTCATTCAGGGGTGGATGTGGGGCATGATGAGAGACGTGAACCTTGTTTGGAGTCTCAATTGGGGGAGCCATGTCAACAGCCTGGAACAACAAAAAATAATTTAAAATTTTTGTACAGATTGCAGGCGATCGCAATAACGACTGTATACTATGTATTGTTCTTTTAAAGGACTATCAATACTGATATTGATTCGTCTTCACTAGAAGGCCATGAGTTTCACCCTTGCAAAGATACTGTTATAACTTTCTATCGCGAAGCATGTGATCGCTGGAAAGCAGCAGTCAAAACTAAATATTAACATAAATATTGCGTCTTTTCTACATCATGTAAGCACAGCACAATATGAATGGCCGCGGCCCCAACTTACAATTTCAGCATCCATCACGATTTCAGTCATCGTGTTTGGCGCATAAGAAGTACCCTTCTGACAGTAAAGAAAAAAACATCAGCTCCAGAGAGCATCATCTATACCTCTTAAAGCACTGGAATAGTTGAAGGAACAATAGGAAAAAAAATCTATTCCTTTTACATCTACCGTGTCCAATACGTTCCTGTCTAAAGCCTCATCCGTTTCAAAAACATCAGAACAAAATCTATTGCTCCATTCCATCTTTAAAAGAAACAGAACATGGAAAGAAACCGCAGAAATAATCCAGGAAGCAACAGATCTGGACAAATGGAGTCCAAGAGTTATTCAGAAAATTCCAAGAACAAAATCTTCAGAGAACTGAGATTCTCTTGAGTTTGAACCGCCACCTCACAGATATTATCCCATTGGTCGTTTATAGTTTTCCCCAAAATCTAAGCCATTCTTTTTTAAAAAAGTAAGACAAAATGACGAAAATATAAATCAACAAAACAGAAACGCATGTATAGCTCAGTAGAATCCCAATCCATACATTCAATTCGCGAGGGAAAGTCATCGATCAAATTCATTTGGCATATGAGAATAAAATAAGCAAAACAGAAACCAAGGCAGACGTTAAAAACCCTAGGCACATGGTCATCTAGAAGAAAAAGCAGATTCAAAACTCACTGGCACTCGACAAGTGTGAGTTTCGGGATAAAAGCTTGAAGAGGAAACGCAGATCTCGAGAACGGGCGCAAAGTAACGAGGGAGAAGGAGAAGGAAGGAGTGAATGCCTGCGTCTGCAAGCAGCAAAGGCAGAGGACGCTTATGTAGAGGAACAGAGAAGGAGCTGTACGCGTTCCCGCTCTGTTCGTTGATTGCCACTTAGAGACACACGCCCCTCGCCTGGCGTGAAAATAGAAACTCATAAATTTTAAAAAAAAAAAGAAAAAGAAAAAGAAAAAGATAAAGAAAAATTTCCAAGAGAAAATGCTGGACGGAATTGGCATCCGTATATTCCGCATAAATGAAAAAATCGTGGCTCCAGCCGGGATTACTTTAGACGCGTCAACGTTTGATTGGGTCCTGGCGACTAAGGAGTAGGCCCACTGACGATGTAGACGGAGCTCCTAACGGTCGTCGGAGCAATTTGGCCCCACTTCATACCTCAGTATAACAGGAAGAAGCCTCTGTTACACTTGGCTTGTGCCAAAATAGAATATTCGCCTGCGTTGTGGAAGAATGAAGAAGATAAAGATCAAGTGGTTATCGCCAGGCCAGCACGGGACTACCGTGAGTTGTAACGTTTATTTTCCGCATCAAATTCCTGCAAGGTCCTTGCTGCCGATTGATTATGAAGTTAAATAGCTTTTGTTCCCCGAAATGAAGGTTAGATATTTTCTTGAAGTCAAAATTATGAACTAGATTTTACAAAAACAACATACTGTTGACCATTTTTGATCGAGAATTTGTTGGGCACCGACATGTCAGAATGGCAACATTGATTGAGGAAATGAAATCAATGCACGGAAGCGTAACTAGGAATGGGTATTCCTTTTAGTAGAGGAGCATTCAGATTTAAACAGTAAATAAAATATTTCATGTATTAAATTATATACATCAATTCATCATGCAATGGGTTGTTATACACTTCGGGGCGTGTGAATATTTAAAAAAAACTATAATTTTAACTTCATAATTAATTAATTTTGACAAATATAATGAGTGCTTGAATAATTTTTTGAAAACATGGTTTAAAATTCACAACTAATTTTAATATGTAATACAAGTGTTTAGGTATACTTTTATAAAATCATGATTTTATTTTATTTTTAATTTTTCTTTTCAATTCTGATTAAATCTTATTAATCAATTTTATAAATTAGATATATACCACATAACATAATTAATTATATTTCAAATCAATCATAGTAATCAATTTTTTTATAATCAACTATACTCAACTGAAATCCAAATATACCCTTCCTTTATCATAAATTATAAAACAACTTTGTAAGTATTTTGTGTTGTCTCAAAATATAAAATAATTTGATAAAAACAGAGTTTCATTAATGATATTTTTCTAATACTACACTTCAAATAGATGGAGAATTAAAATAATTATAATGTAATGATTTAATGTGTAGATTTAAAATTATATTAAATGAAAGTATTTTTAAAAATTAATATTTTTATTTAAAAAAAAATTGTAAAGCTTTATTATTAAACTGTATTATATTATAATTTAAAATGAAGATAATACATGCATGCACTTGGTGCATGTTCGTCTGTTTTATTCGTTACGCGGGAACGAGATCAGAGGGCCCTTTATTATGATGAAGATATTATTAGTGGTGGGTCTGTAAGATTGCGATGAAGAAGACGTTAACATTTAGGACATTTGTGCCGTGACACCGAACCGACAATGAAATGGGGGGTTTAGAAGAAGAGGTGGTGGGGGCGTGCGCAGCGGATCGAGCCTTCAGGCATATTCTTTTAATTATTTTTACAAACCATTTCTATCAATTTTATTAATATTAACATAAAAAAATATAATGAATAAAAATATATAAAAATTTAAATTTATTTTTATATAAAAAATTTAAAAAGTAATTTATATTTTTTTTTTAAAAAAGCATAATTTTAAAAATATTTTTTAAATGTTATTTAAAAAATTACATTAAAATTGATAAATAAAATTAAATAAATTTTTTAAAATGTGACTTAGAAATGAAGCTTGAGGGAATATACTCTAAACGGTAGAAGAAGTGGCGTGGAAGCAATGAAAAAAAAAAGTGTGAACCAGCAACAGCGTATCCGCATTCTTCCACCGCAGCATGACATGGCAACTCACGCGCGAATAGCAACGGAATGCCTGCCATTTATTACTCCATTTAATTTGATAAAATATACTTCGTAATAAAAATTAAAAAAGGCACTATTATTTTATCACGAGAATAGTCACGAGTTAATTTACGTACCAGTTAAAGGTCAAATCTCTCCTCAGTCCTCATACAGCATTTTAACACGCTCTCGCTTTAACGTAGTGCTTTATAAAATTCCAAGCATTAACCCCAGAGAATTGTTGGTCAAAAAAACCCCAAAAACTTAAATCTAATTACCGAAAATTTGAGAAAAATACCTATCTAATTACTATAAGGCAGAAATTGCCATATAAAGCTGTTTTAAAATTAAATAATTTTACGAAGACAGCGACAATTATAATACACATTACACACACACACACGATGTTCGGACGAGGAAAAGTGGAGCGAGGTCGGCCACGTTTCCCTCCATTCGTCAGGGATATATCCTCATCTGAGTCTGAGATGCTCGTTTTTGGTTAGTGTTGTATTTTCATTCCTGAAATCCCAACCCATTTCATCTAATTTCAGTTGGGATGTCCATTGCCCAATGTCTGATAATTGATACTTCGAGGTGGCAACTTTAAACAATATTAAACTCACCAAATGAACGTTTTATGAATTTCTTTCACACGTTCCTTTTCTCTGCCCTTCGGACGTTCACGTCAACGGGGATAAGAACGGAAGCTTTGTTTGGGGTAAAAAGGGCACATGTCACGATCCCCCCCCCCCCCAATGCCACGAAATGATCGTGCTTCAGTCTCTCTCTCGTTGCTATGTGAAATGGATTTCGAACTCTGAATTAGAGGTTTCACTTTTCAGAGCAAACGTTTAAGCAGGGCAATCCCAGCCGGTGAGATCAGGAGAAATACTTTTTCTACTTTTCTTTTCTTTTCTTTTTTTAAGGAAAGAAGGGTAAATGCACAGAAGGGGGATATTATAATATTACTTCGACGGAAATGTTGATCTTATCTTCTTTAGGTTTGGCCCCTTAGGTTAGGCATTAGGCTTTTCCACGAGATCAGTTATCCAGCATTATTTAACAGGTTAAGGTATATTTTATTTTTAAAATAAATTTTGAAAAGTACATAATACTTTAATATTTTTTTTAAGTTATTTTATTTTAAAGTTATTAAAATAAAATATTTTTTTTCTTTGCATCAAAATTTCAAAGATGATTGTTAAAAAATTTAATGAAAAGAATAAAAATATTTCATTTTAATAATTTTAAAAGCAAAATTACTCTAATAAAAATATTAGAATGTTAGGTGCAATTGTAAAAATACTTCAAGGCAAAAATACAACTTTATCTTATTTGAGTCGCACTCCTTCATTACATAGTTATTAAACTCTACTTAATATATAATTACATCATTGTACTTTACATTATGAACATTCATAGAACTCCCATAAAACACGATTTTATTGAACCTTTTACTTTTTAAGTTATTGAACTTCTCATGACAACAATCATTAAAATTCATTTGCGATTCACATAATCAAACTTTAAACAAAAACACTATTGAATTTCACAAGTTTATTATAATGAATTTTCAAATAAGTTAGTGGATCATTCACAAGTCACGGCACGTGACACAGAAACTTACCTTTTAAATTTTCTTCCTCTTTCAAGTTTAAGTGACCTAACTTCACTTCAAACCCGCATTTAAGATTAAAATTATAACCAAACATGACCGTTAAACCTCTCTGGCCACACATTTCACTAATAAATTTGATTATTCTAATTAGGCTTCGTTAATCAAATTTTAATTTTGAGGATGTTACAAGTTCCACCCCTGCATAGAGTTCGAAATAGAGTATATTGCTTAGGGTTTATTAAATTGAATCATACCGGTATAGCCAATGTATTAATATTAATGCCTTCTTTTCATGTGTAGATATACATACATAAATTAATGCCCATTACTTATGGAGTTGCTAGGCCATGGACAAGTAATGCTTAGCACTTAGATGTATATAAGGGTATTCACAAGTTCAATTTGGTCCAATTTTGAGGAAAATCAAACTAAACCAAACAATAGGTTTATTAAAGCTTGGGACTTATTCAATTTTTTTTTTCACTAATTGATTTGGCTGAGGTTTAGATGAAGTTTGAACATTTCTTATGAGATATTTTTCACAATCACCCATATATATTCACACTCATTTACATTTTTTTAACTATTGATTATTATTTGTAATAAAAAATCTCCTAAGAATAAAAGAATATTTTTAAAAATTAACTATAATATTTAACAATTAAAAATCATTATATTATCTTTAAACGCTATACTAGAAAAATTAAAAAAACATCATAAACAATCATAGATAATATTTAGATAATTGTAATATTTTTTATTAATGATTTACAAATAACTAAATTCAGAAAAGAGAAAAAAGCTTAAGTAAATTTATAAAACATATATAATAAATGTAATAAGGTTTGGTTTGGTTTAGGTTTCTTGAGACAAAAACCCACCAATCAATTTTGTTAAAAAAAAAACCAAATCAAATTTTATTTATAATCAGTTTTGATTGACTTATATCAATTTAGTTCAATTTAGCTTAATATAATTTATTTGGATTGATTTTGAATACCCTTAAATATTGCTATGAGTTTATGATAAAAAAACTAAATATGTGAGTTAGCATTTAAGGAGATGAATTAAATACAAAAGGCGGGGTTAAAGTAGTCCACAACATGGGTAAGTCAGCACATGGGCATTGGTTGCTACCAGGTTGACCCAGTGGCAGATTCTTAATGGAAAGCCATAGTCCATGGCATTGTTGTCAAACTTTTAAAACAATATTGTAAGTTTATCATTTTTATATTTCTAACTTATAAAATTATATTAACTCGCTCATAAGCTCGAACTAAATAAAACTTACAAGTTGACTTTTTGAATTTATTATTTTTACATTTATAGCTTATAAAATCGTGCCAATCTATTTATAAACTCGTTGAGAAAAAAATATATATACTATATAGAATTTGATTTATAGAAGTGGTAGGATTCGATTCAATAAAAAATACAACTAAAA